ACTAACTTACGTAAATTTTGATGATTGTATCATATTGCGTCCAATTGACTTTATACTACCGAATGCGCATCTAATCATGCCTGCTAAAAACAAGAATGAAATGGATGATTTTATCCCTCATAAATTGGATTCGAGAGAAAAACTCATTCAATACTGGTCAAATACACTAAAGGCCCTCGATGCCTTCTGGGAAATATGGAAAGAGGAATATTTAAATACTCTTAAAGAAAGAGCACAAAGGGAACACTCTTCTCCGAGAGATGTAGTAAAAAGAACTCCCCACGAGGGAGAGATTGTGTTACTAAATGAACCAGAAATTCCCCGTGGCATGTGGAAACTAGCCAGAATAAGAGAAATCAAAACAGGAAAGGATGGAGAAGTGAGAAGTGTCTCGATAGAATTACCGAAAGGAAAAATACTCAACAGACCGGTGAATATGTTATACCCACTGGAAGTCAAAGGTGAGGAAATTGACCCTCAACCAACAATGTTTAACAAATCAGTGCAAAATGTCAATGAACAAGAACCAATTGCTCTACGAACTAGAAGCGCTATAAGGCGAAGCAATCAACCAAAGCTGTCCAACGAACTAAAGCATTTAGCTCCTTCGGTCGGGAGTGTCGCGGATTTTAATATCGCGATCTAAAAATATGAGTTGCAAATTGTAGTAAAGATATCTACGTAATTTCCGCAAATAATGCTTATACTTCGGACTCTTTGTTTCCAAATTTATGCTTCTACATATTGAAACAATTTACATCGTTCTTTGTTAGCAATCCTTACAATCATGAGGATATCTACATTGTTCTTTGTTAGCTATCATAATCATGCGGTTATCTAATAAGCTCTTTATTAGCAACTGGTGCCCATGCAAGCACCTCCTCTCCTTTGTTTGGATCATTGTCTAACATCAATGTAGATTTTATAACCATACTATTGTCAATTAGATCAGTTTTTTAAATCATCCAATCCTCCGAATCAGTTTTATTCAATTGTTGCCCAAATATTTAGCTGGCATCCAACACATCTCCCTGACATCAAACTTCTCCCCCGAATAACAATTTAACCAAATCATAAAGGTTTGTTTCCAAAAACATTTTTTTTGCTTCCACTACACCCTCAGGTATAATGAACTTGAATTTATTGACATAAGAAAGAAATGAGCACAGCATTTTCAAACTATACCGTTCGATCTATTTCCTTGATCATTCTTGTGCATAACTAATAAAGTCGTCATCAGACGACACACAATTTTGCTTTACTTACATAATACCAATAATTGAATAATGCATCAAATTAAAACATAATTTCATTATCAATAATATGTATCATGAAAATATTTTCCAAGTAATTAAGGCATAACTGCAAATAACTTTTAGATCATGCGAATACAAGTTGCACCTCCATAACAATTTCAGAATATCTTTATAATTAATACTTTCGTTTTTAGAAACACATAAAAATACTGCTAATCCGTTAAGCACCAGCAATTTTCTCGGACTTTGATTGCTTAGTTCTATAGAAATCTCAATCTGTTTTGTCTTGGGCAAGCACAATTCGTGAAAAGTAACACCTTCCAGTCGCATAATTTGATCAATTATTTTTTCACATTGAATGGAACATTCATATTTGGCAACAAAAAGCAAAACTGTCAAAAGTGTACTATCTTTTTTGTATATTAAATATTTAAAATTTTTTGTTGATATTAACTGACCAATTAGGGAAAGTTTTAGTCTTGATTGATTTTTTGCATGGAGGCAATTCCCCTCTCTTTCCCTCTCTCTATATCTTCAAACTTTTGATTGATTTCTTGCATGGAGGCAATTTTTTTTCTCTCTCTCTCTCTCAGTCTTCAATTTATTTCTTTAAGTAAAATTTTTCACTTTTACTCCATTTAAGCATTACTTATCACCTCTTAACATTTATCATATAAGTGTGTGTGGTTTTGTAAGAAAGGAAAATAGAAGCAAAATAGCGCATCGAACATTCAATGTAATTAACAAAAAAATTATATTTAGCGAAATGATATCATTATTTGGTTCAATAATATTTGAAAAATTTTCGAGAGTGCTTTGAAAGAATTTTATACATTCAAATTTAAATGACTACCCATCACTTGTTAGCATTAATATAAACTAAGTGTTTATTTATCTGAGAGATATCACATGTAGCAGAACCGATTTTCAGAGCGTTAGGTCTGACAATAACAGATAATGGAGCAGGAAAAGCATTTATCAAACGGATCTTCCCTAATACCATAACTTCAAAAGCAAAACCAGCACTTCAGGTAATTATTGGCATTGCAGTTTGAGAGAATAAGGTGACAAAGGGAGAAATTGTTTTATAACAACCTTTTATTCATTCACTCTTTTAGTATAGTCAATCATTCAGCATTTATTTCTCTCTGAAATTATCATTAAACCTTCGAATTGAATCAGCCAACAGAAATGACATTCATTTTTTTGTATTGAAAGGCAAAAAATTTGAACAGTGTTACCTTATGCTTTCCATAATAAATTATTGTTATAGGCAAAAATTCGAATCTACAAATCTTACCTGAAATTAGTACACATCAAAAACTAGATTAGAACTTCAACTTCAAATGCATTAATGTTGGAAAAAGATTGTGAATGAAAAGTTATAATTTTTAGGTGGGTGATTTCATTGAAAAAATAAACAACGAAAGTATGGTTGGACGAAAACATTTTGATGTTGCTCGGTGTTTACGTGCATTACCTACTGGTTCAACGTTAGTTGAACTTCTTAATTATCACTATTTTTAAGCAGAATTAAATTATTATACACTGTATTGCTTTCTAGAAGTAATACTTTGATCAAATTTCTGAAATTCAACCTTTGTTTATTTACAGCATCTAAAGCTCACCAATAAAAGGAAAATTTGTCACATTTTCATGTATTTTATTAAATAATTTGACTCTTCTGCCGAAATTCTCCCTTCTAACTTTATTATTATATTTATTTTCACCAATATTTCTAAAGAAAAATTAAATTTATGGCTTCTTTTTTTTAAGATTCACAATGCGATTGGTTGAACCAAAACGAACAGGGTTTAATTTTATAGCTTCTTATAGTATGCCAAAGCGCATGCGTTCAATTTTGGATAGAAATGAAACAATACGATTTAAAGCTGATGGAACGGTAATTGTGCAGGTAGCATTAATTTCTCTTATTTGATGCGCTTTTTTTTCCTTTTAAATTCATTAAGAAGATTTTTTAAGTTATTAAAAGAATTCAGACTGTTCGATAAAGCGAACGAAATGGATGTTAGACTTTCAGAAATTTTTCAAGTAAAAATTACTGATGATTGATGACGAGAACACATCATTATACAATACAAATGTTATTTCTGCACAACATACGACATGATAATATTTAATTCACAGTGCAAAGGATAGAATTTCAAACCAAAAAAGTTTTTTTTTTTTCTAAGCTGAATTAAGGCTAATGACTTTATAGCTTATTTTGCTAAAAATTCCTATAACTATTAACATTGAATTGAAGGAAGGACAAGCAAAAGTAGGTCATTTGAAAGCGATGATCATTCTTTTTGCTCATCAGATGAGGAAATGTTAATTGAATGATTTTGAGAATGTCAAGTCGCATATTTCAAAGAAATAGAAAATGACACTATTATTATACATGGGAAATGAAGATATCTAGTCAGAGTTAAAGCAGATGAAAAAGTTCTTAATTCTGTATAGCAAATGCACAATTAAATATTTGAAATATAGCAATTACAGAAAGTGCTCAATTCAAGATTAATTGCTCATAAATTGATTTATCTCAGCTCATATGAGAAATTGGATGAACTTTTCTCACAGCTATTGAAGTAGACTGTGCCACAGTTGATGTTCTTTTCACGATTTTAATTTTCGATAATAATTTTAGAAATTTCAGTTTCAAGCTTTCACGAAATCGTTTGACGAAAATTAAGTTGGTGGTAGGTAGCACAGTAACACTTAAAATCATATAACAGTTGATGAAAATATTGACGAGAATTTCAACTTCTTTGTCTACCAGTTTGAAGACAAGCTTCGGCAGAAAACTGAAACAGATAATTTGAATTTCTATCGCACCACAAACAAATATCGCTTGAATCAACATCATCCGTTCATGTTTGTTTGTTGCAATCATATTCCTCTCGTCATATTCTATAAAAATTGAAAGAGTAGAGTAAAAGAAAAAAAAAAAAAAGTTGAAATGAGTTTGGATTTCCAAGGTTTCTCGAACTGTTTGGAAAAGACTTCAGAGGAATGTTTGTCATAAATAAGCACAAATGCTGCGCGAAATTCGAAAAAAAAAAAAAAAAAACTAATGCAGTGCTACTGTTATTGTTGCATCTATCCGCAATATTCGTCCGTTTGTTACGCATACTGTAGAATATCGGAATATATACTATAAACATTGCTATGGGTAATGCAAGTGTCCATATATAACGAATTCTGAATTGAAATAATTGATTGGCCAATGAAAAGTAATTATTTCAACAAAAAGAAAATTAGACTTCTCGTAACCGAAATTGATTCTAAATTCTCACAACACAGTGAAATTAATTTAAAATAATACATTCTTTAAATTCAAAAAGTAAAAATAAAAAAATAAAAAACACAAACTTCAAAAACACAGCTCCACTTTCTGGTGTTCTTTTGTTGCAATTAATAGACCATTGAAAATTTAACGCATTAAAAGTTTTGATGCAATAACAAAATTCCATTAATGGTATTACTGAAAAGTTATTTAAGAAATTCAAAAGACTGGTGGTTTACTATGATTAAAGTGATACATTGGCATGTTGGAAAGGTGATGCACGTTTTTATCAAGCAGCTTGTGATAAAGAAGGGAAGGAAGTAGCAGTTAAGAATGATTTTAAAATTCATATTAAGAGATTAATTTAAAAGCTTACAGGCACAGACACGGTAGGCATTGTTTGTATATTGCTTGAACATAAAACTGTTTCAATTAGTAATTCTTTCAATAATTTAAATAAAACGAAAAAAAAGCTGGATTATACCGAAACTTGATGTCCATGCCAAGAAGAGAAGAAAATAAATTTTTGTTGACTCGAAAATAGAACTGAATTTCGGTAAACTTATCGCAACAAGGCGATTTACTGCCAACAGAAATGTAAAATGTAATATCGCAATGAAGGAAAATGTGTCTATAGTTGCGAGTATAACGCTAACCCATGTTGGCTTGTACTCTAAAGTATTAATGAATTAAATGATTAATGTAGAATTGCTGTATTGGTCGTTTTTCAAATCAACGTCATTTATTTATAGAAACATAATCAGCTCAATTATTAACTGTTATTTACCTATACCAATATGAATAAATTCAATTTAAATTCATACAAAAAATAATTGCCTGCCGCACTTTGTTAATTCAACCTCATTTATTAGCAGACTGTGTCATAACCAAATTAGACTATTACTTACTGTTTTAAAACACCTAAATCCCAATAAATGACAAGTAAATAAGACAAATAAGTAAATGATATGTGTGATAGAAGGAACCAACCGGCACAACTTTTATTCTTTAGTATTCCACCTAAGACAATGGCCATTTGTGGGATAAAGTTCAAGAAACTACAAATAGTAATTTGTGATGCGATAATAATGAACGCTCGACTGTAAAGATTGTCACGACTACAGAATACCACCATTAACAGTACATTGCTAACAATACCGTATAACAAAAGCAGTGAAAACAGTACAACCGCCACGTATCTTTCTACCGTATTACATTCATTCCTTATATCGAACACATTTGTCGCATTCTCTGCGTGACAGTTTAACGGTAATATCAGGAATAATGCAATAATACAGTAAGAATGAGTCATCACTTTAATCATTGACAATCTTTTCCGGAAACTGCGATTATTTTGCTAAAATGACTGTCAGTATCTAGAATTTTTAATATATAAATATTAAATAATGAAAAATGCCTTTAGCTAAAATTTTATAATAGTAATTGCAATCATTATGGCGAATGCGATAATATTTAATGAGAATTATAAATTCAATCGCGAAATTAACTTCATACTGCTCTGCCTATTTGTTTAAAGTTGCTGAAAGTAGTTTGATTGCCATTTTCAGTGTTAAATAACTTTTTTTAATGTTAAATTTAACTTTTTTAAAAATTCATTGAAAATTTAAACTGAATAGGAAGTTCAAAATGGGTTTATTTCGTAGCTGTGCTCTCTGAACGGGAATGGGGATGAGGGAAATGTGAGCCTGAACTTATTGATATATGAAGGAAATGAGCTCAGTGATTCCCATGCATGTACTTTAATTTTTTTCTTGGCTTATTGCTAAAGCAAACTAATAAAATTTTTATTTGGTAATACCAGTGGTTTGAATAATGTATAATGTTAATACACAATTTCATTACAAATAATACCACAAAAAAGCACAATTTCATTATGAATAATACTATAAAGATATTTCAACAGCAAATGACTTTCTGATAATGCGAATATAACTTCCGTCTTATCACAATTTCAAAACAATTTTCAATCAGTGTTCATAGAAAACAAAAGGACTATGAAGATTGCTTCATCATTTCTCGCTTAAATTAACCATTTATCTAACTATCAATTCAGATTTGCATATTGAATGTCCCAATTTATTGACGATGGATAAGTAAATCTCAGAAATGTTGTCAATGTTTTCCAGTATATCACTGCAAACATTTTCCAAATTTCATGTCATAATCAAAGGATTGCAACTTTTTGCTTCTGAAATAACAATATAAGAAACATTCCGATACAATCGGATTAGTATGAAATTGCAATGTCACAATATGCACACTCATAAAATATTTACCAAACAACAATCTCAACTAATTCCAATCAAATTTTTTTTACAAATCACAACAATAATTGGATAATGAAATGATTAATCAATACGTATAGGGAATTTTTATATTTATGAAATGAATTCACAATTAAATGGAATAAGACTTATGAAAAAACAAATAAAATATTCAGAAATTTTTTTAAAAAAAATGGAAAGAGACTATTTAAATAGATAAATGACGTGAAAAATAAACAAATGACGTACTAATACTTTGCTATTCTTTTTACTTCTCACAGTAAGAGGAGCAGATTGAATAGTTTAAGCTAATTGTAACTTCTGCGAAAAAACAACAAATTTCATAAGCAAATTTTATCTGAACGATTTTTTTCTTCTTTTTGAATTAAAATAAAACGAATTTGCGTCGAAGTCATTCAAATTATAAATATTTCAAATCTAATGTTTGATTGTGGTACAATTTTCAACCAAATAATAAGTCTGTTGTGCTCATTTCATTATGAATCACCTAATGAGCAAATACTGTAATTATTGATGGAAACATTTCAATTTTATGATTAGAAAAGGGAAATAATAGAACCAAAAAAAGAGATTATGTTTAATTCTATAGCAAAATAACTTGGGTTTGCCAAATAAATTGGTTTAATTACAGATAGTTAACAATTTATAGTTAGCATAATAAACTGCAGTATGCGTAGAAGGTTCTTATTAAAGAAGCTTCTTAAATAATTATAAACCAGCTTGACTAAAACGCTTCCAGAAGCATTAATAAAGACTTCTGCTTACCACCAGACACATTTAGCATTATTTGAGCACATCTTCATAAATCAAATAAAGTTGTATCTTAACATTTAATATATTATTCATTTGTTTGTTATGATTTAGGTAAAGCAGAATTGTATGCTATCAAATGAAACCTAGTTAGCTTACTTGTACTAATAATGAGCAGACATGGAGATCAAAGTGCATGTTGGGAAGCTTTGAGCTTTTTTTTCCTTATATCAATAATTTAGGTTCACAATACTTGTGGGTGGGGCTGCAACTTGAATTCATTTTAAACTTTCTATTCAATTTAAGTTTTCAATAAATCCTTCTGTTTGTACAGTTTAAGATTTTGCATGACGAACCACGTCAAATTGCTTTTAACAATTTTGATGGATGAAAAAAATACAACTTATTTTTTCAATTAAATTTTTATTTCTGATTAATTATTCTCACCCAAATGGATATGAAATCTACATGTAGTTTAAGCTAAAACATTCTTCATATCACATGTTGTCGCCACAATGGCGAAGCTATAACCTAATAAACAAAGGCTATTGTTTTAAATGATTTTAATCCACTTCGTAACCTTAACACCCATAAAATCCCTCCCAATTTTCTTCCTTACAAATCCACTGATTATAGTTCCTTGTTTGGTATGGCTCAACTCCATTGATAGTCAATTCAGAATTATCTTGTAAAAAAACTTTTATATCACTACTATAGCCATGAATGCTATCTATATTGATGATTTTATCAGCCCTAATATTACACCTTGATAAAACGTAGTTTACATCCACATCTTTAGTTAATGCAAGTAATAAATGCTCTACTTTTGCATATTTAAGATTAAAATTAGAGGCAATCAATAATACTCTATTTAAACTTGCCTCTAAATTCTTAGAAATCATCTTCTACTCTCTTTGCAAATGGGAACTTATATAATTATTAGTGTACAATTATTAAAAAAATTAAAATCCATCAGTTTGTTATAGCTGAAAGCCCTGTGTATGGAGCTTATTGTAAAGAAATTGGTGTGTAAATACAGCATTACAAACCAAGTTTAGATTAAACTTCTTGCAAACCATATAATTTTTGCCTGACCATCATTTATGTAAGCCGAAAAAACTACTTGACAAACCTCGCTAGCTCCCTTATCCCGATACTGGAGGTGTTAAGTTACCTTCAATCTGTGCAGATTAAAATAATAAAGTGTTATATAGTTGCGAGGTGTCTAGCTTGCTTATATCTTTAAATGTTTTGTAATTAAGTTACATTTGTGTGTTATGTATCAATTCATTATTGTAATGTTGTATAATATTTAGTGTTAATCTGTGGTTTATTTACCCAAGTTTGAGGTTTGAATAATAAAGTATTTCACGAAGACTCCCACAGCACACGTACATAGAACGGAACTAGTACAGATTGGAGAATCTACCAGTATCGAGGACAAAGAAGTCAAAACGGAACCAGTACAAATTCGAGAATCTACCAGTATCGAGCACAAAGAGGTCAGCGATCTGAACCATCAAGAAAGGAAGCTACTTTGTATCACAAAGAAATAGGGCAGTAATAAAGAAATTCTAAATTTGCTTTTACACATGTAGTTTAAGCCAAAAGCATTCTTCAAAAAAACATTTCAGACAATTTTTTTTTTTGAATTTTTTTTTCGAATTTTGAATTTTTAAATTTCTAGTCATTGACATTCACGTGTGCATAAACTTAAATAAGATGAAGTAGGATGTTTCCGTAAAAGATTGTCAATGAGCAAACCGATGACTCATTCTTACTGTATTATTGCGTTATTCCTGAATGTAATACGGTAGAAAATAAGTGGCGGTTGTACTGTCCTCGCTTCTTTTGTTATACGGTATTGTTAGCAGTGTACCGTTGATGGTCGTTTGCTGTGGCTATGACAATCTTTACAGTCATTCATTTGTTCTTATTGTATCACAAATTATTGTTTATAGCTTCTTGAATTTATCCAACTTTATCTGATAAGTGTATTTTCTTAATTCGTGCAGTCTTGCAATAGCACAAATTAAGTTTGTTTATAACAAATATTTTTTTGAAGCCGTTTTCAAAAATTTTCAGAATTTGCAATCATTTCAGTCTTTTTATTTAATTTTGAAATAAAGCAGTTAAATTTACTATTATAAGAATTTTTGTAGGATATGAACAAAAGAGTATGATTGCAACAAACAATTTTATTATTTACAAGAACCTTTTGGATGAAGTGACGAAGATCAGTCTAGAAATTTCCCTTTTTCTGAGTGACTTTTTCTGAGTGAGTTCGAGAGTTTATGCTGAAAAGCACAGAATGTTATTTACTTTGCAGTGGAATGTGTGAGATGATAATGTGATTAAGATGACCTGTCGGTAAGTTAACAGTTTTGGAAGCTATTAAGTTCTCAGTCATAAAGCCAACTACTGAGTGAGAATGTTTTGTTTTTCGATTTAACTGATCAGAAGATGTACAGTGGACAACAATTTCTTTAAGATTGCATTCTCTTGAATTTCACTGAGAGTAGCAATCGTTATTGAGTTGTAACAGGTTAGTTAATGGGCAATGATAGCGGGTACACCACCCGTAGTGTCAAGTTTTTTGGGGTGATCCATAATCAACTTAAACATACCTTTGTTCTTGATTCGACTGTAGCAGAAGAAGCTTTATCGATAGCTTGTAGGGATTTATTAGTGAAATTTCCTTGGTTATTGGTGCAGAGTTTGTACAGACTGTGGTGATAAATTTTGTTCACTAATAAAGTATTAATTAATAATCTAATAATAATTTTGTACAGGTACTACGAGTAATAAATATACTGGAAGAAATAAATGAAATGAAGCAGATGAAATAAACAAAAGAGGAAAAAGAAATAAATGAAATGAATAAGTGTCTAAGATCAATAGAATTGAAGTTTGCTGATATTAAAAATGTGCAAAAATTTTTTTATGCTAGACATAAAGTGTCAAAGTCGAGTTTTGGAAATATTCATTATACTACCGTATTCTAAGTTTTAAGGATAGATTATTTAACACGAATCTGTCACGAAGAAAATATGATAAAATTGTTAATGGCTGTTTGTATTCTGTTGCAGATAAAACAATGTTTGCAGTTAAGCGTCTATTCTTATCATTATCACATTCCAATTTATTATTTTCAGCTTCCAATCTGTGATCTCTGATCTGTGATCGTCCATCATCATTGATAGGAATTAGTCTTGGATTTCTTATGATCATCAATTTCTGCAAAGCTTATATCATTAGAATCTCTAGTGGAAAATCTACTTAATCTTGTTAGCTATCACTAGATTTTGAATGATTAAAAAAATTGGAACTGCTAATATTAAAACAATTGGAACTAAAATTTCGAAGATCATAACATAAAAATAAGAAAGCACAATTTGACAATAATGAATTGTTAAATCATTTTTTAAATACAGTAAGATTTAATTTCAAACACTTTTTTTTTTTTTTAAATCCCTTCATATGTTTTTAAATTGTTATATTTGAAACGATGAAATATGATTATGAAGACAATGCCTCAAGTGATGACATCCATTTTTATCAATTGTCAAATAATTGTGCACTGATAATAACAATGGAGTGGTGTAAAATCACAATGTAATTCTTTAAAAGGCACAAGTCCTACATTTGGTTTTATCATCTTTGAAAGGAAAGTGTTCAAAATGCGCAAAAGAAAATTCTCGAATTGGAACATGGTGTTTTCCAGTAAACTATGACCATTCTTAAATTCGACATTTGCAAAATCAAGCATTACTACAAAGATTTTCTTGAAATCATCAAATTCTCATGCAACGATATATTGTAATTTATGTTTTGAAAAAGAAAAAAAAGATTAGATTTATAGCTATTATAATTCTTCACATTGTTGATTGTACGTATTTTGCGCCATTTTATTTAGCTAATATTGTTTACAATCTTTGATTTCAAAGCTTCTTTTATACCATTATTAGATTATGCATGCAAACATCCATTACTATTTCTTATAAAGTATGTAAAATCATTGAGATTCTGCTATTTAACAGCAAATTTATGTTTGTTTAATCGTTTTCATTTAACTTTGACTTAATTTTCGACAGCTTCTTTGTTTGTTGGTGGTATGAGAAGAGAAAAAGTTTGAAGCTTTCAAATTTCTATTTCAATTTCAAGAAATGAAATATAATAGTTTGCTGAATACTTGAAATCTTGGAACTACCGAATTGTTGGAATCATTCGTTATCTTTGTTATTCTAACATTATAAAAAGTTATAATTAAGTTAAGCATTACATAAACTAATTTGAAGCATTTTTAAAAAAAATTACGGTATTCTTTATGATGTGATAAAAAATATTTCCATGCATTAATGCCAAATAAATCATTATCGAATGATCACGATGGCTTTATTTTTCTTTTATTATTTTTGCAGCATTTATCAGAAATTTCCCATATTTTGATTTAAATTAGAGTATGTAGTTCCCATCAAAATTTGGTTATGATAGTTAAGAGAATTATCAAATCAACAAAAGTTAGCTTAGCTCAAGAAGCTATGATCAAAGGTTGTAGCTGTATCAGTTATGATATGAACAATAACTATGATCAACAACAACAACAACATTATCGTCAAAAGATTCATGAAATAAATAATTTCTTAAAATATTTCAATGATTTTAATCAACAAATGATGATCTGATCTGATCTTGTAAGCATATATAGTAAAATATAAATGGTAGTAAATTCAAAATAAAGTAAAATTAGTTAACATTTAGTTTTAGTAAAACACATTTATGTTTATAATGAAACATATTTCTCAAATTTTTCTGTCAATTATTTATTTCTTTTTGTCTATTACATCATACTTTTCAAATTTTCTATCAATATTTGTTCATCTTTTTATTTATTTCTTCTTATCTAATATTTATTTACTTTTCTCTCTTCTACTATTTTTTTTTTAAAAAAACTTCGAGGTATTAAAATTTTTATTTAAAAAAAAAAATTTGACACTGAAAATAATAATCACTAAATTTTATTTCTCTTTTTTCAATAACCAATTAACGAATGTAATTAATTTATTTCAACTTCCTTTAAATGAAACTAATTTTTAAATATTTAAGGAAATGAACAACTATCTTTGGTGCTTCATTTGCATATTATCGACGTTGCATATTGCTATTATTGCAGAAGATGCAAATTCTAAATTGAAGAAATGCTGCAAAACATACGAACCTTTGCTGCATAATGAAACGGCCGTGAATGAATGTCTCAATAAGTACTGTGATTTCGATACCATCTCACAAACAAATGTAACAACTTCTTTTGCCAAATGCATTTATAATAAAATTTAGATACTCAAATTATTGTTTCTAATTAATCATACCTTTCAGAGAGAGAGGAAGTGACATTATGAGGATTAAAACAAAGTTGGATTAATTCATTCTTTAAATAAAATTTATTTAAATACTCTTAAATAGAGTATTTAAAAAGATTTATTTTTTTGAAAAAAAAAAGAAAAAACTCTTCTTTTTTCTATTATTTTGAAATATGATTCAGATACAATTTATGTTTTTCTTTTTTTTTTTTTTTTTCTTTTGGTTGCTTTTATTAAATCATATTACAGTATTTCTTTAAAACTTTATAAGTTTTTGATTTAAAATGTACGAGAAGTTTATTTACTATTTCTTTTAAATATTAATTATTTCTTCTTTCTTTGGTGAAAATGAAAAAATAAGTTTAGAGATTATGTTGTATTGTTTATTGAATGATTCTATCACATTCAGGTACTTGTATTTTTGAAACATTGCGATAGCATTGTTGTTGGTAGTATATTTTCTTGTGCATCATCGAATTATGATCATACACAGTGTTGTTTGGTGAGTTCTTTCATTTTAAAGTGTTACTGTAAATTTTAATTTAATCTCATTTTAAATAATTGATTTGTTCATTTACAAAATATTTATAGGCTAATGGAGTAAGTGGAAAATGTCTGGAATATTGCTCAGCTCATGATGGTGTACCTCCAAATTATTTGGATTATTTAGCATGCCTAGAATACTTTGATACTATCAAACAATGCTTTAAAAATTATCTGGAAAAAAATCCTGCTATTAAGCCTTAGATATAATTGTTTTTATAATATAAAATTGTGCAATATTCAAAAATCAGAGCAACAATAATTAAATACAAAAATAATTCATTTTTAAAAATTAGTTGAAGTTTGCAGACAAATAAAACTAATCAAAACTATCAAGCAGAAAATGCTTATTCTGTATAAATTTTTTTCATAAAAAATAATTTATAAATATTCATAAACAAAAAAACAAAAAGAAAAATCCATTCTATTCAGAAATCAGAAACGATAGCATTACTGTTATCCCAAAGCAGTGATATCCAAAACATTCTAAATGCCTTTTGTCTTTGCCACTTCTCTTACAATATTTTGATTTTAATCTGGAAATTTGAATTTTTTAAAAGAAAAATTAAAACTTCAAAAAATTTGAATTCCATTTCATATATTTCAATACAATCGGTCGCAGAAAATTACTTACCTGACATAAATGTAAACTGTTTTCACTTAAATAAATCAATTGATGTGTCATATATGAATCAATTTACATTTATAATTTACCTGAAACTTAAAAGTGCAAGGTGGAATCAATTATTTGTTGTTCTCAAAAAGTCTGATAATTTTATTTAACAACACTTCAATGGCTATTCGCTTGTACTTCATTAAATGATATTATTTGAATGTGTCCATAATAACATTTAGAGATGTGATAGTATAATGTTAATACAATTGCTTTTTCCTGATATTCTGCAATTTATTTTAAATTGAATTTTAATTTTCAATAAACACACACACACAGCTTTTTACGTTTTTCATGCAATTTTCATGAAAACTATGCTTAATCTGTTTGAAATCTTTGCAATGTCTTGAATATCAAGGTTCAGAAAATTTTTGCTTATAAGCAAATTTGGGTAACAAAAAAAAAAAACTTAGACTTTTCCATTTTATATCCAACATAAAGCAATTCATAGAGTTTTTATCCTGTTTATTTCAAAATTAGTTCCACTAATCTTTAAATTTAAATTGCAAATATTTGGTCACTAAAATAAACAGCAAAACAAATGAATAAAATGTTCTTGAAAAAGACAAGAAGAAAAAGTTGAATTGTATTGCTTAAACATCCTGCATCCTTTTACCATGATGATAAAAGTAAAATTAAAAAGCACAGGTAAAAGTATTTTCAAAAACTTTGAGTGAGAAATTAAACTATAAATGATATTTTTATCTTTTAAAAAACTTCTAAAATGATAATTAATTTTTATTCACAATGTATCAGTTATTTATTTATGAATAATAATATTGTATTTCTCATGAACAATAGAAACAATAATAAATAATATGTTAGGAAAATTGCAAAGATGGATAAGAAAAGTGCATGTAATTAATAATTTATAATTAATAACTTCACATCTCATTTATTTTTTTAAATCTTAATTTCTAAATGTTCATTTGCTGCTTTTTATTATTTATAACTACGAAAAAAATAATTCTGACAAACTTCAAATCATTTCTAGAAATAATTTGAATATTTTTTATATTCGCTTTCATTTTTTTCATTTCAGCCATTTCTCAAAACAAAATTGTTAAATTTATTTTAACAGTGTACTACTGTAACAATTAATATATAAAACATATAACCGATGTCTCTCAATTAAAGCAACAAATAGAGATTCACGTCATCGTTTCCACTTTTTACGGAAATTTGTAAGGAAGTAGAGGACAAGGAAGTATAAACATCAATTAACTGTTACACCTTTCTCAGTAATACCTCATTGTCTAACGCTAAATTTAATTTTCGTTGAAAAATTTCGTCGCGACATTAAACGAGTAATTCTAGATTTGTTATACAAAATTATAAATAAAGAAAACATGAATACTTCAATATTTTTGACTAAAATTGGAGTGATTTCTCGTGTAGTTAACTATTAATGCTCAGTTTTTAATATATAACTCAAATGGACTTCAAGTCTTTTTTAGAACTTTCATTACTTTTTGATTAATATCAAATTATTTAATATTAGCACTCATTGCAAAATTAATCGCTCTTAATTAATGGAAGCAAAGATTCCATTAAGAAAAAAAAACTTATATGCATTATTTTTTATTATTATTTTAAACTATTTATTTACTTAAGATTACCGTAATATAATCGGAGCATCAAATCTCACGAAATCGGTTTTATCAGTAGCTGTATCTTATCATGAACGCTGCCGTTTCGTTATCTGTTCTGCTTTAACTATTCGCCGAAAAAATTTGATCTTATAGGTCAAATGAGTTGAAAGACAAAACTTACATTTACATAGCTAAAGTCGACAAAAAATTTTCTGTTATTTTTTTGTTACAATTTTTGAAAAGCTACCAAACAGAAGAATATACAATTGCCATTTTTTGATTAATTTTCATTTTATAATGAACGAGTATTGAGATCAAACGACGAATATGCAAACAAATTAAAAAACAATAACTGGAACAATAACAGAAAACAATACCTCAATTACATGGATTACTGATAATTATTAAAAAAGTTTTTTTGAAGGATAAATGAAAAAGAAAAATTGGAAATGAATTTATTTGAAAAGTTTAAAAACTATTTTTTTAAGATACATAACATTTAATAAAAGATATACAACATTTTTAAGATATATAACACAATTTTTTCGAATAAAAATAACGTTAAGATAATTTCAATAAAGGAGAAAAGTTCAATAGCGTTGCGTTCTCATTTCTTTATAACTTATAAATAAATATTTATGACTTTATGGCATCATATAAATATAAATATCTGTGAATAATTCTTTTCCGAATTTTTATGCATAAAAGTTGCAAGAAATAATGTATCCGAAATAATAAATTATAAGAAAAAAGGATTTATCACATCCGTATGACTCAACTGATAAGGAAAATGTTAAGTGTTCGCTGTAATATTTCCAATAATAAATCTCTGTTATCCGGAAATAGCTTGATTATCCGCTACAATTTTCCACGCTATTAGATTCCGTCGGAGAAAAGCCAACTTCGGAATAAATGTCATCCGGCCGGCTATGGTTGTCAAAACCTGTAAAGCAAACAAATGGAAAATGCACTAGCTGTGATATATTTCAATTCGTAAGTTCAAAAAAAGAAAAAAAAAATTCAAGCGATATTAATGAAATGAAATGGTAAAATAAAGCGTAAATAGCACTGATTATGTCATAAACACTCACTACAACCTGCTAATTTCTGTGTGTGAAAATTTATTCTACTCGGATCTAACCATTCTCGAGGTAAAGCACCCATTGATGGATCTTAAAATAGTATTTTCAGATAGTTTTATCATTGAAGCATTGATAATTATTCAAATAAAAAATCACATTTTTTTTTCTTATTCACTTAAGTAAATTAAATGCTTTTATATCGATTACTGTAAAATTAAAGTGGAAAAATTTCAATGCTTATGGCAGTATTTCTAATCGATCCAAATTAATTAAGCATTAGCAATGAAAGTATTTTTAAAATGATTAATTTATTTAAATGTTAATTGCTTAATTAAATTTGCCTTATTTATTAAATTATAGCTTTGTGGTAAGCGAAAGAAAAGAAAAAGTTTAAAAAGTTCACCACATGGTTTTCTTTTACGGCAACACATAAATTGCAGATAAAAACTCCAAGGGCTGAAATGATCATCTAATTTATATTCGCTAATCTTTGATTGAGTTTGTTCTTCATCATGATGACTCGAAAGACTATCCTGCAATGATTAATTAGGTTCTTCAAGCATTCTTACTGCTTAACATTTAATATGATTAAATTTCAGTTTGATATTTCTCTGATATCAATGATAGCAAATCAATTTACGAATAAATCAAATCTTTTTAAGCTTGCAAAGCAAAAACAATTCAGTTGTTTTTTTCTTATGCAATTACGGATATCAAAATTTATTCGAGTATACAATTTCAAAAATTTAAATTTCTATAAAATAATATTTTACAAAAATTTTGAATTTAATAATTGAAGAATGATTGAAAGTGCACATCGCCAGTAGATGATTGATCATCGGAATGAGTGTTGTGATCAGCACAATATGAATCATCCATTTGAAAGATTTCCTTAATAATTGTAAAATTAAATGAAATAGTGTAAGCATACAAGTTTTCACTATTTTCTACAATAAAGAATCACTTCAATTACATACAAATCTTTCCGATAATTCAACTAAAGGATCAAAATGAAATAATTTATTTATTTATTTGGTTTAATAATTATTTCATTTATTAATCGCTTTTTAAAAAAAAATTAAATTAAACTTTATAACATTCAAATATTATTTTTACGATAAATAATAACTGATTTTTTAATGCAAATATTAACATAATAATTAAGTAGCACATTTTTGATTCAATTTAATTTTTTGCCAAATTTATAAATATTTTCTAAAAAAACACAATTTAATACAACCTAAAATTCAACCGCTTTCAATTTTGTGATTGAATTAAACTAGTAAATGTAAGTAAATCTACGATTTTTATACAACTCAAAATTTTCAGTGCATTTTTTTGTAAAGAAAAGAATTTTGCTAAGTTCTTCAATGAAAAGTAAAAGTAAAATTTTAAATATTTTCAAAATAAGAATTTGATAAAAAAAAAAAAAAAAACAATCACAAATATTAAAAGCAAAAGTACAAAAGCAATGGAACTGAAACTTCGACAAACAAAAATCCTTACCCAACTTTTTTTTAATTTGGCATAAACTTTTTCACATTTCTGCAAATTCATATATGCAAATGTTGCGATGTCAAAAAATCGTTTTGTTTTTCTTCAATTAATACAAATTACAGACTAACTTTAACACTTCCATACTTTTCCCAGCATTTTTTTAAAAGAATAACATTTTCTGTTTCAAAAAAAAATAAATTAAAAATTCAATATTATTCTTTGAAGAATCATTAATTGACCAAAGTGATAGCTTTTTCTCCTTAAATTTCTATATTTGCTGTTTATAAAATAAATTATCTCATTTACAAGGAAATTAATGAGTACTATTTTAACTTATTCAAATATTGCATATTTGATAATAAACTTTTATCAGTTTTTCTTACATCTAATGAATGCTACAGTTATGTCAATGGCTTAAAATTCTATTTTGGAATTTATCGGAATATAATCGTATATTTTCAATTGTATATTTTTTCGTATTCCTTTTTTTTTCGAATCTTATATTTCTAATCGATATTAAATTTTGGAATACAGGTAACTATATGAATCATTTAGAAAGTGTTCTAGCACCAATTTTATTTCAAAAAATTTTGTTGCCAATAGAAAATGAACAAAGATTAACAATTAAAAGATTCATTAGCTCATTAGCAAAACAATAATGTGATAGTTTTCAGTGTTGTATGACAGGGGATAATTAATCCGAATGTGACATTATGTGACACATTCAAAAGTTTAAATGAATTACTTACCATAGCTATGTTTCAGTTCAAGAAATATCATGAAAATTAAATTTATACATATATATAAAAGTTTATATATTAAAACCGGTATTTGTATTTTTTAATGATTTGAATAAAATGAATATTACTCAGTTTTTACCAATGCTTACATGACTTACATGATATCATGCTTAAATGATATAGGCTTAATTGATTTTTATTGGGAATTTTAATTTGCTAATGCAAATTAAAATGAATTGTTTAATTTGCTATCGAATCTCTTAAATTATTAACTAAATTAATAAATGCAGTCGTTTATATTGAATTTTCATAAACATAATAGAATGTTTAGATTACCATTGAAATATTAATGGAGCAAATTTCATTTATAAAAGTTTTCAACATTTAATAATTTTTATGAATAAAATACAAGAAAATGTGAATGAAAAATATCACTTAGAAAATATAAACAAGATTTAGATAAATGAAAGGAATTTATTGGAACAAAAATACATTTCACTGATCTTTGTGATCACTTTAATCAGTTCACCTTAAAGCTGTCGGATTGACCTTTCCTTCAAACTACTTAATATTATCGTTGTTACCACTTTAATATATTTGGTCATGCAGCCTGCCAGCCGTTTATTTGCTTATTTATTCATTACCTTTACTTTTATTGCATTAAAAAAATATTCGCAATAAAAAATATATCCCAAACTATGTTTTTTATCTTCAGCTATCGAGTGTTAGCTTTTTAAACATAATACAAAAACAAATATTCCACAAAAGAGCTACCCAAGAGTTTTTTTAATTAAATTAAATTGGCCAGTAGTGTTGCAATATGATCGAAAATTACCTAGGAAATGAGAATTTTGATTTGTTTATCTGCGAATTTGGTGATAAATTTTAACAGAAAATTGAAACAACAGGTAAGTAAATTTTATTGCACCCCAAATTATTAATTAATTAATATTTACTGTTCATATTTTAATTGTGTCTTTTTGCCGTACCATATTATATGCTTCTCTGCTTACTTTATCTCATTCATTGGGATATTATTGTTAATCTAATTCATTTGAATATATACTTGGTTGTTATTGAGAGTGAATAATTCAGTGATTAAGTATTAAAAATGTGAATTGTTATTCTTTCCAATCAGATTAGATTAATTCTCGAGCTAGCCATTCATTGATTGACATTAAATGATTTACTCCTCATTCATTGAAGCATATTTTATGAAGTATAAAACATTGAACGGTTTTTCTGCATTTCAATTATCGATAATATCTTATAGAAACAGAATCACATACACTGCAACACATAAAAACACTGAATGAGAAATAACAGAATATTCTTTTGAAGGTCCAAAAAATTTTAAGATATCAAATTAATTAAATAATTTGGAAAAGTCAGTTTCAAGTTTGAATTTGTTTAAAAAAAACGGACATATTTTTACTTAATCGCAAATAACTGGACGAATTTTAGTCAAAGCTAATGAATTGATATCGCAGTTCTAATTCTCTCTGTTTTAGTCATATTAAATAGTAGTTTCTTAAAGATATGTTTGATGAAGGTACGAAATCGTTTGACAAAAATTAAATTAACAGTTGGCAATACAACATTGTTGAAAATAGCGTAACAATTGATAAAAATATTGACAGGAATTTCAGCTTTCTTGCCAGCTAATTTAACTGCAAACTTCAAAAGGAAATGGAAACAAATAATTTCAATTTCCATTACTCCACAAACTACGGCAGCCTGAATTAGCATCGATCGCTCATGTTTACCATTACTTCTTACTGCACTCTTTGTTTCACATCCTTCAAATATTCTTTAATTAAAAATGATTAAATTTATTACCATATTTGAGGGTTGAATGAAATATGAAGTAAAAAGGAACCTATAAAGAACTGCAAAACTTTTTAAAGTTTTCAGAAAAACTTTAAAAAAGTCATGGAAAGCAAAACCACTGTTACCGCTTGTTTTATTTAATTCCAAAGCTCTCTTCAACAAACGTCGCATGTTGCAAAACATTAAAATATGCATTGCGAACATCATCATAGGTAAAGAAAGTGTCCATGCATGACGAATTATGGAAAAAAGTAATTGAAGAGTATATCTCAGATGAACGAAATTGATTTTAAATTTATAGAAAATAGTAATGTTAAATAATATTCTACTCTTTTGAATAATAAAACTTTCAATGCAGAAAAAAAAAAACGAACTTCAAAAACAGCTCCACTTTCTGCCGTCCTTTTGGTACAATTAAGCGACCATTGCAAGTTGGATACATGAAATGTTTTAATGCAATAATGAAATTCTATCACTGGTATTACTGAAAAGCCATCTGAGAAGTTTAAAACATTAATAATATATTATAAATAATGAGATTAAATGATACTAATGGTGCATCTATACATTGGATAAAGTTAACTCTACGATGAAGAAAACGAAGTAATCAAGTTTTGATAATTTTAGCCAAGTTGTTTGCTATGTGTTTGTATCTGTCAGATAATGATTTTTAGCGATTAAACTAAAATACCGATGAAAACATTGAGAGAATCGTTTAAAAAATATATTTAGCATAGCCTTTTGTAAGCTATTTGGAATCAATCTTTTTTTTCTTTTGAATTGCACAAAAAAGTTAATGAATTATACCAAAACTTAACAACCATATGAAGCTGAGGAGAAAATAAAATTTTATTGATTCGAAGAAAGCATTAAATTTCGGAAAGCATATGACCATAAAGCGATTAATTGCTAATAGAAATGTAAAATGCAACGTGGCGAAAAACGAAAACGTATTCGTAGCAGTGAATATTCCGTGAATCGTTGCTGATATATTTGCTTAAATAATGACATATTTGCTTAATTTATTAATAATGCATGTTACAACAAACAAATCATTATTTGCTATTCTAAATTATATGTGCTTTCTCCATTGATAATAACAATGTAACAATGTAAAAATAATATAATATCAATAGTATAATAATATTAATAATAAATTTAAGAACAGTAATAATAACAATAAAAGTAATGTAAGAGAGAAGAACTTACTGCCAAAACTTTTGTTCCTTAGTATTCCACCTAAAACAATGACCGCTTGTGGGATAAAGTTCAAGAAGCTACAAATAATAATTTGGTATGTTATATGAGTGAACGCTCGACTGTTAAGATTGTCACGACTACAGAATACCACCATTAACAGTACATTGCTAACAATACCGTATAACAAAAGCAGTGAAAACAGTACAACCGCCACGTATCTTTCTACCGTATTACATTCATTCCTTATATCGAACACATTTGTCGCATTCTCTGCGTGACAGTTTAACGGTAATATCAGGAATAATGCAGTAATACAGTAAGAATGAGTAATCGGTTTGCTCATTGACAATCTTTTCCGGAAACTGCGATTATTGTGCTAAAATGACTGTTAGTTATTAGATTTTATTACTAAATTTTTTAATATCAAATATTAAATTATGAAAAATGCCTTCAACTGAAATTCCATAATGCGATTGCAATCATTGTGACGAATGTGATAATTAAACTTTCTGTTCCTGTTCCTGTTCAATTTAATATGAATTACAAATTTAATCGCGAAATTAACTTCTTACTTCTCTGACTATCTGTTTAAAGTTGCTGAAAGTAATTTTGTGCTTAACTGCCATTCTCAGTATTGAAAATCGCACTAAGAAACGTTAAATTTATTAGAAATTTAAATTGAATAGGAAGTTTAAAATGAGTTTATTTTGTGACTCCACCCGCGAGTATTGCTAACTTGAAGTTATTAATATAAGAAAGAAATGTGCTCACTGTTTTTCATGCTGCACTTTGATTTTTCCTTGGGTTTCTTAACAATAAACTCATTTGTTAATGGATTTTTATTTTATATCAAAGAAAAAAAGACTCAAAAACTAATATCAAAGACTGAATAACATATCAAATTAAAGTATAATTTCACTACAAATAATGCCATAAAGATATTTTAATAGCAAATAACTTTCTGACAATGCGAATATGACTTCCGCCTTATGACAATTTCAAAATGTCTGAAAATGGCTTTAAAAGAAAATTTGTCATAAACAAACTTAATTTATGCTATTGCAAGACTGCAAGAATGAAATAAGAAAATTAATACTGTGCTGACAGATATTACATTTGCGGGTGAACAACAATAAATTGCAACTCTTATCAGATAAAGTTGGATAAAGTTCTAGAAGCTATAAACAATAATTTGTGATACAATAAGAACAAATGAATGACTGTAAAGATTGTCATAGCCACAGCAAACGGCCATCAACGGTACATTGCTAACAATACCGTATAACAACTGAAAGATTCTATCACATTCAGGTACTTGTATTTTTGAAACATTGCGATAGCATTGTTGTTGGTAATATATTTTCTTGTGCATCATCGAATTATGATCATACACAGTGTTGTTTGGTGAGTTCTTTCATTTTAAAGTGTTACTGTAAATTTTAATTTAATCTCATTTTAAATAATTGATTTGTTCATTTACAAAATATTTGTAGGCTAATGGAGTAAGTGGAAAATGTCTGGAATATTCGCTTGTACTTCATTAAATGATATTATTTGAATGTGTCCATAATAACATTTAGAGATGTGATAGTATAATGTTAATACAATTGCTTTTTCCTGATATTCTGCAATTTATTTTAAATTGAATTTTAATTTTCAATAAAAACACACACACACACACAGCTTTTTATGTTTTTCATGCAATTTTCATGAAAACTATGCTTAATCTGTTTGAAATCTTTGCAATGTCTTGAATATCAAGGTTCAGAAAATTTTTGCTTATAAGCAAATTTGGGTAACAAAAAAAAAAACTTAGACTTTTCCATTTTATATCCAACATAAAGCAATTCATAGAGTTTTTATCCTGTTTATTTCAAAATTAGTTCCACTAATCTTTAAATTTAAATTGCAAATATTTGGTCACTAAAATAAACAGCAAAACAAATGAATAAAATGTTCTTGAAAAAGACAAGAAGAAAAAGTTGAATTGTATTGCTTAAACATCCTGCATCCTTTTACCATGATGATAAAAGTAAAATTAAAAAGCACAGGTAAAAGTATTTTCGAAAACTTTGAGTGAGAAATTAAACTATAAATGATATTTTTATCTTTTAAAAAACTTCTAAAATGATAATTAATTTTTATTCACAATGTATCAGTTATTTATTTATGAATAATAATATTGTATTTCTCATGAACAATAGAAACAATAATAAATAATATGTTAGGAAAATTGCAAAGATGGATAAGAAAAGTGCATGTAATTAATAATTTATAATTAATAACTTCACATCTCATTTATTTTTTTAAATCTTAATTTCTAAATGTTCATTTGCTGCTTTTTATTATTTATAACTACGAAAAAAATAATTCTGACAAACTTCAAATCATTTCTAGAAATAATTTGAATATTTTTTATATTCGCTTTCATTTTTTTCATTTCCGCCATTTCTCAACACAAAATTGTTAAATTTATTTTAACAGTGTACTACTGTAACAATTAATATATAAAACATATAACCGATGTCTCTCAATTAAAGCAACAAATAGAGATTCACGTCATCGTTTCCACTTTTTACGGAAATTTGTAAGGAAGTAGAGGACAAGGAAGTATAAACATCAATTAACTGTTACACCTTTCTCAGTAATACCTCATTGTCTAACGCTAAATTTAATTTTCGTTGAAAAATTTCGTCGCGACATTAAACGAGTAATTCTAGATTTTTTACTGAAAGATTCTATCACATTCATTCTTATCACAAACAAATACTGCTTGAATCAACATTGTTCGTTCATATTTGTTTGTGGCAACCATACTCTTTTGCTCATATCCTACAAAAATTCTTATAATAGTAAATTTAAATATTTTATTTATAAATTAAATAAAAAGATTGAAATGACTGCAAATTCTGAAAATTTTTGAAAACGGCTTCAAAAAAATATTTGTCACAAACAAACTTAATTTGTGCTATTGCAAGACTGCACGAAATAAGAAAATACACTTATCAGATAAAGTTGGATAAATTCAAGAAGCTATAAACAATAATTTGTGATACAATAAGAACAAATGAATGACTGTAAAGATTGTCATAGCCACAGCAAACGACCATCAACGGTACACTGCTAACAATACCGTATAACAAAAGAAGCGAGGACAGTACAACCGCCACTTATTTTCTACTGTATTGCATTCAGGAATAACGCAATAATACAGTAAGAATGAGCCATCGGTTTACTAATTTTTTTTTGGGTTAGTAACTATGTCAGGTCAGGTGAGTATTAATTGGAAGTTTTATACTAAAGGTTTCATACTAAAAAGTGATTTTTAGTTCAGATTGTAAGGCCGAAATTTTGGTCATTGTGAAAATATAATCATATTTCGATGAAAAATAAAAATTTAACTAATAACCAAATGTTTTTTCATTGTCTTCTCTGCCAAAATTGCTAACGGCAACCGAGGCATAACTTGTATTTTTGGTGTTAAGTTTCGGAAGAAGTTTGAATTACTGAAAATTTAAGCTGAATGGGAAACTTAGTAATGAGTTAATGTAATAATTTCCAAACAATTGGTAAGATATGGGTCTTACTAATTATTTAAATGCATACCATCAAGAACTAAAGAGACTATTAATTAATACGAAAAAAAATAAAGTTTGTGGAAGCAAAAAGCTAGAATAATATGAAATAGTGCAAACATAATAAAAAAAAAAAAAAAAAAACGCTAAGGTAAATAGTAATCTAAAGCTACTAACATAGCAGCACAATGTAATCACAACGTTTCTTTGCAATTATAATTGCTATCATGAAACATTACTTAATTCTATTTTAAAGTCACTTTCGAAATTTAAATTCTGAAGGTTATGCATTCAGCACTGGAATAATAAGTTAAACATTTAACTTCTATTCTGGAATTTTATTATTAATATGTATAGATATACAAAAATGTGGTTTTTTCGGTTTCAACTCGGATTATTTTTCTTTTCTTTAGCAATTTTTGTTAAACACTTTTTACTGCAAACAAAATTTTTCACTTAGCCATTAAAATAAATAAATCATTCAAAGTTTCTTAAATTGAGGGACAAATTATTACACAGCAGAAATGAATTTATAATTGAATTTTAAAAGCAGATCTCAAGGTATTAACAAACAACGTTGGTTGCCGTGCCATATTACATAAACGAATCTCAATCATTTCTAAACTCTAAAATATTGTACTTATCAGTACTATAGCGATGTATTTATCAATGAGTTCCGATATTAGCCCAAAATCATTAGAAGATCCTTCTGATGATTGAAGCCGAATGTCACTTTGAATGTCAATTTGAGTTATATATTAAAAACTGAGCATTAATAGTTAACTACACGAGAAATCACTCCAATTTTAGTCAAAAATATTGAAGTATTCATGTTTTCTTTATTTATAATTTTGTATAACAAATCTAGAATTACTCGTTTAATGTCGCGACGAAATTTTTCAACGAAAATTAAATTTAGCGTTAGACAATGAGGTATTACTGAGAAAGGTGTAACAGTTAATTGATGTTTCCACTTCCTTGTCTTCTACTTCCTTACAAATTTCCGTAAAAAGTGGAAACGGATAACGTGAATCTCTATTCTACAACAAACCATTGTTTCTTCAATTAAGAGACATTGGTTATGCTTACCAATTGTTACAATAATTTTCTAATTTCAAATATTCTTGAAGCGGCAAGACTTAATCGTTTCAATTGAGAAATAGATGAAAGAAAAATGGAAGATACTGCAAATAATTTGTTAAATTCTAAAAATTCATTCAATATCTTAAAAAGATAATTTCTATTATTTTCTTGACTTATGAAGCAAAAGCAGTGCAATATGTCGTTTATTTGCACTGATCCGAAATGGTCTACAGTTCGTAAGGTATACTGTAAAATAATAAAATTTACACTGAAAAATAGTTTAATCAGCATTCATACATAAAGTTACCAATTTGACTTATTTCTTATTTCATTAAAGATAATATGAGCTATTATTTAAAAATCTTTTTCAAATAATTTTATTTCATTTTTAATGACAGAAATTTTAACAGGAAAAACTTTTAATACTCGAAATAAAAATATGCCGACAATGTAGATCTTTTTGATATGAAATTTTCACTATAATTAAGTTATAATTTTTTGCTCAACTAATGTGGAAATTGTTAATAAAGTCATCAACATCATTAAATTATCACCATTTTCATTCTCTTCATAAATAATTATCAGACAGAGGAAATAAAAATTATGATTTTTTCAACTTCAAGTCTGACTAAATTCAATTTTTTAACTATTTTTGTATGATTCTTCAAAAATTATTGTGAAAAATTATTGTTGTGATGTAAATCAAAATAAATGAAACATCTTTCTACTGATTTTATAAAAAATCATTACAATGTATCTTTCGTATTAACATTCGCTCGAAATATAAATAAGGCAAATAGCCATTTAAATGTTCAGGATTTAAATGTGGCTAGCATTTATGCCAAGTTTATATTTTTATAATTAAAACAGACTGAAGCGTTAATAAGACCTAACATTGCCTCACACTACTTGTCTCATATACTTAAAATGTTTATGGTTTTAATTGGTAACGCTTTAACATCTGTCTGATAAGGCATTCAATATAATAAAATTTTTGACAATCATTAATTGAGTGATAACTTCAATGATATTAAAATATTTTTTAAATAAATATAAACTAAATGAATCCAGTTGTCTATAATATTCAGATGACCGATCTCTACTGAATAATAGAAGTAAATCTGCGATCTACTAGATAGTAGGAGTCAATGCCCACTACATCCAAACCTTTTGTCTTAGTCATTTTTTTGTACCAACAAGTTTCGACGGTTCGACTGCTCTCTATCACTCATTTAATTCAGTTTATTTCAGTCTTTCAAGTTCCCATCAATTTATTCATTTCCTTCATCTCACATTTGCCTGCAAATAGCATATTCTCGCTATCGATTAATACTTGTATATTATTGTTACTAGCGAATAAAATCGTTACAACAGATCTTTCACTCAACGTATTCGTCTATACAAACTGCAATAACAAACAAGGAAGGCTCTTGAACATATGAAAGTCCAACTCGACTCTAAGCTACGGAAGTCAGATGCCCCAGGTTTCATGATAATTTACATTACAGTAATAATTTTTATTCATGAATAAAACTAGATCCAACAAAGGCAGATATATTGTCACACGTTGATTTTTTTTTTCATATTCGAAAAGCCATACAAACTTATCCATTCAGCTCAACTGAAATTTCATATTTCAGTAAAAAATTTTGTAGTACATTTAAATCGTATTATTTTTATCCTTGTAAATTATAATTTTTATACTTTGAAATTAGCATGCAATATATTCAAGATTATTATGGCAGTCACAAAATCAAGATTAATTGTAGTATTTTCAAAACTAATTACATATGATTTGTTGTGATGTTTAATTAATATACAGCTTGTTTAATTATTCGTATTTGTTTGTATTGCGCATTCTTATTATGCAAAAACGCCAAAAAAAGCTACATTTTCAAATAATTCGTCAATTTTCATCTTAACAATTGTCAATTATAGCGATCTGAGCTATAATCCAAAAATTGATCCACAAATTCGATCTGTAAATCAGTGAATTCATCCGGAAATCAAATAACTGTTCTTCATCTTTATTCGTCCCTTATCTGCATACTTTAAATAATAACGGAAAGGCGTTTGTCGAGAAGCGCACTGCACCAAAACGAACTTCGCATCATATAAAGTTAATCAATCATCTTCGAAGTTTCTTAGAAAAACTTCTACTTGAAATATTCTGTATCATTTGTAACTTAAGTATTCTGACTTGTTCTGCCGATTTTTTGTAATGGTGACGAAACGTATGATAATTCTACTCTGTTTGTCATAGAACAAAATTCTTTTTTTTTTCTGATTATAATATAGTTTAATTGATACATACTTTAAAGCACTTTAACAAGTTCCGTATTTGGCCAATTTCATGATTTAGTAGCAAATAGTAGTGTAAGAAATTTCAAAATATATAAAATTAATTATTATTTCATGATGATTATCTATATTGTTTTCTAGAAATGCTCACATTTTACCAATGATTTTTGATTATTTGGCTAAGTTCATTGTTTTATTTAAATTAATATTTGCTTGTCAACTATTTTCTTAACAAGAATTTACCATGAAATAAGTTATATTATTAGGTGGAATATTGACTCAAATTTATTCATTTGTACACTTTTGAATGCATTTAGGATAATTAATTTGATAACTTATTATCTTTTATTCATTCACTCTATAACTACGGGTAGATTTTTGATTGTTAATGATCTTACCATGAAAATTTCTTTTAAACTGAGTTTCTTTCCGTTTTCCACTACGTCTATTCCATATTTCAGATGTTGGCTGAAATGTCGCATCGGTTGTGCTACTACTACTGCTACTATCCGAACGATCTGCATGAATTCTTCCATGTAGTTTATTCCATACTTCCTTCTTATGATATTTGATAGCATTATTTGTGTTATTTATTGTGGTATTGGTAATGTTGGTTAGAGTAATATCAGCAATTGCAATAGGAGTTGTATTGGTGAATACAGAAGTTGTTAACAATCGTTGCAATTCACTGGTGCAGTTTGATTGAACTAAAAATCATCGTGATCTAACTAAAATATTTCATGATATTATAACAAATAGAACAAAATATGCATGGAATGGCGATTTACGGATTGATAAGTAAATGGCGTAATATTGCACTATCAACAACTCATTCAGCAAGAATCAGTTTTGATGATGTTGACAATTAGAAAAAAAAAGTAATAAATGAAAGCTTACAATGACGACATTTCTGTTTATGTATTCGGGCCCCATTATTGCTCAAATTAACATGTATTAGACATAAGCCTTTTGTCACCTAAAGTAAATTTTCGATGAAGTTCATAGTTCCATTAGAAAAACCTATCCACTTTTTTCTTGAGTTATTCAAACTATTCTCGTGAATATTCATTTCTTTGTCACACTAATTTTTTTATATTAAAAAAATGAAACAACCGGACATAAAATTTGACAATCATTTTGTGCCGGAAGCCATTGTGGTTCAGCAAATACGTCACCACCTAAAAAATCACTGCCATTTAACCAGAAAAATATATTAAAATAAATTAGATAATCATAAATTATAAATTTCTCACAAAAAACATCAGTTTTAGAGAGTGATTTCAGTTATTTATAATCTTTTCATATAATTTAGTATTTTGTTTGCAGACTTAAATGACTAAAATTTTCATTTCTAAGAGATATGCAAGGACATAAGTAGGCTTCCCAACGATAAGAAATAAATTTTGATAGTCAAATTCTTAGTATAAATAAGTAGAATGTAGGAAGTAAAACTTATAAATAAAATAAATTGATGACCTTTAAAAGAATAAAATTGAATGTTTTTATGTTTTGGTTTCTGGATACAACTAAAACGATACCAAGGATGTATAATTTCTAGTAACACTATTATCAAAATAATTTGCATACTATAAAACATGATTATAAAATTATCCAGCATAAGTTGCATTTTTGATTTAATCCAAATATTGCAATTTCATTTAAATTTGTTTAATTGGCATATATGATTGAAAATAAAGAATAATGAAATAAGAAAGTGGTAGAAGATAAATTAATTCCACATAACCTCATTAATAATTGTAACTGAATAATATATCACTAATTACTAATATTAAGATGTTCCTAAATAATTTGAGCATAATTAGAACACAAATTAATTAACATGGATTTGGATCAAAAAAAAAAAACGATATGATTTTACTAGCAATCTATTAATTAGAATATATTTGTTATTGTAACTATTTTGTCATTATTATTTTTCTATTTATTACTGATATTATTATTGTTGCTGCTATTATTATTATAAATATTATTAACTGTTATTACTAATTAATTAAATCGCTTACTAATACCACAATGTAGCCATTAATGAATATCATAAGGTATTATATGAAATGCAAACTTACATAAATGTTCATTTTCATATAAGAATTTGAAAATATGACGAAAGAATGCATCGTCATCATTACTTATAGCAGTATTAGCATCGATAGTATTGCCATTAGTTTCATTAATGAATAATATTAATATAATCAGTTGTGGGAGGAAGCAATATAATACATTCAGTAACATTGAAATTGGATTTATTTATTTCTAAACAGATCAAAAGTATTAAATAAAATTCTTTGAATAAATCAAATATGATAAGAAGAAATAATATGTAAAATTTTGATTAAATAATAAGCAATAAAATAACATTAACTAACAAACAAAATTTTTAACTGCAAATAATTAAGAGCAATGAAGCAAATTCCTCTCTTTTATTATAAAAATTCATCGTAAGAGATAAAAGTTAATTTATTGTTACTGTCTTATGAAGTTCATTATGATGAAAAAAATTTTTCTTCCTTTTGTTTTCTAAATTATTTTTTTTGGAAAACGTATTGTAAAGAAATTTTGAATACTTTGTTTTCTTTTTGACATTTCTTTTTTTTTTTTTTTTATTTTTTACTATAATAGATTTCATGTTATTCCGTTACTGAAACAATAAAATTATTAATTTCTAATATTACACTTTCTGATAATGTAAATTTACTTCTTGATAATAAATAAATATTACATATTAGCACAACATATTTTTACATATTTTCTTTATTTTCTATATATATAATTACATAATTTCTGCAAATGCTGACATTACTATTAAACAATTCTTTCAATGAAATGAAAGAATTTTTTTTAAAAAAAAAGAAAAAAATTGCTAAAAGATTTTATATCACTTAAACTTTTTCTCTTTCATTCTTTAAAAACTTTTCTATTTATAGTAATAAACTAAGCTAAATTTGAACAAAAAAGCAATAAAAAAAAAGCTGCAAGATATAATACGAATTTGTTTGGGTAATTTGGAATAAAATTTACGATTACTTTCATTTAAACAAAATGCACACAGACGCATTCACGGATGCCATTAAATCGTCGTCGGATGATTTTTAATGAATTTTTATCGTTATAATTAATATTTTGACATGTGGAGATGGATTCAGGTCAACAACGATGATCACTAATAATGAATGATACATATAACGACTGTGTGATGCAGTGCATATTGTTGTTTTCCACATTTCTGATTTCTAATTGAATTATAAATTTCTGATTGATGACTGATATCAAAATACAGGCAAGATTAATTATATGAAGTTAACATAAATTTTGCAAATTTTAATTGAAATAATATAAATTTTATGAAGGTAACATAAATTTGATGTAGAGTTTACAACTGAAAAAAAAAAAGGAAACAAAAGTTGAGATAAAAAAAAAATTGGTAAAAAAATTAAGACATAAATTAATGACTTTTATTCTTATTATATCAAAATTTTGCTTTAACTTTTAATTTTTTTTTTTTTTTTTGAATTAAGATTTATCAAAATTTTGTTTTCGCTTTGAATTGAAATTATTGATAGCATCAATTACTATTGATGAAATTTCCAATTGAAAAAAAAATATTTCAATTGAACTGAAATAATGTTGATAATAAATTGTCATTAAAGTAGAAGTTTTCTTCAGCTGAAATCCAATAAATAATTTTTCTTTAGCTAAAATCTGATAAATAACTGATTGTTCTGATTTGGTTTTTAGATGACAAAAAAATTTTGGGTAATGAAACTGTTTTTTTTTCTTTTCTCACAATTTCATCTAATTGTTACTTTTTAATTTGAAGCAAATTCCAATATAAATACTAAAAATAAAATATTGATGTTTTGATTTATTTTGTTAAATAACATTCATTTCTTCGTACTTCCGTTCATTGCAATTTTTCATTAATTTAAAAAAAAAAAAAAAAAAAAGAATGTGTAAATTTTTTTTTTCTTCACCTTACATTCATTTATTGGGTATTTCTGATAATTTATTGGTAAAATTAATGATTAACATAAATTTTATGAGAAATTTAAATTTACAGCCTTTTTTTTTTCATTTTTTCTTTATAATTTAAGTTAAATTTATAGTTGAAAGACAAATTTTGTACATTCCGGACAATATCAAATGATATCGGCAAATCATATCAGTTAAATGATAGAAACATACGAAAACGATACTGACAAATACACACACATACATACATACACATGCACACACATACATACTGCATTTCATACATTTCAGATGGAAGTAGGCAGGCGTTGTTACGAGTGGAAGGTGCAAAAGGTTGATGATGGTGAATATATTGGTAGTAATGAATATGAAAAGGGTTGCGTGAACCGAAAACGGCCATGAACCCCGTTTGAAGTGTACCGTTCAACCCTGTTAATTCTCTCCAATTTTGCCCCCCCAAAACGTTCTCAAAACTATTCATTTTAGGTGATTATCTTAGAGGAAACTATTCATTTGCTATTATTTTATATTAGTAAATATATTTTTATTTAAAAAAAAATTTTATAATAAAATTGATTAATTTTCACACAAAAAAGAAAAAATATTACTGTTATATATATATATATATATATATATATACTTAAGTTGCAATATCTTTTTTAAATTAAATTGTTTTTTGATTTTTGTATGATGAGTTATATAAATCTAAAAATATATGATAAATTAACAAATTTGAAGTTAAATTAAAATAAAAATTATGCTATTCAAATATTTCGTTTTTTTTTTTTCTTTGGATATTTTTTTGTTTTAATTATATGTATATATAGTTAATATGTTGATTCATATTTGAATATAATAAAATGATCTATAATCTAATTATAACATTTAATTAATTTCTTTTATGATTACAGATTAAAGTATTTCGCTTTTATGTTACATCCTGTATTCATTACTTTATTAATCATTGCTTTCTTTTGATCCAAATATTTCTTCTCTTTTAATGCTTTTTCATGTGTTGGAAAATTAAATAAAAAGAAAAAAGAATTAAGTAATCAAATTCTATTCATCAATAGGTTTGAATTAATGAGGAAAAGAAAATGATTGAAGTAAAAATTTAAAAAAGAAAAGAAAACAAAATCTTTTTTATTTAAGTAATATATATTTTTTATCATGTGAAAATGTCATCAAATCTTATTATGAAAGCTTATCGTTAAATTAATTAATCATTAAATCCTGAATTAATAAAAATAATTTGTTAATTATTTTTTTAGCAAACTCTGCGTATATGGGACAATATGTTAACCACTATTTGCAAGGTATTCATGCTATCAGCTGTCTATTATTATATATATATTTTTTTCATTGAATATTAATTACGATTGTGAACTTTAGAATTAATAGAAAAATAATTTTAAATGGCAAATTTTAAAAAATTTGCCATTGCATAACTATATAGTTATTAATATTTCAAACTGGCATAACTGTAAAATTCATTGATATTTTTAAAATAAATTCAGTACAATTAAATGTAACAGAAAGCTTAGTGCTTTTCTCACTTTTAATTTAATAATTTCAATTACAAACCTTTAAAATTCTAATTAAAAATTAACGATAATTTAAAAATGGCAAATTCATACGTTAAAAACTACAAAATTCTGTTGGAAGAAAAAATTTTTTTTTATTCATTAAGCAAAATATAATATAAATCAGAATTTTCTTTTTTTCTCACATTTTTTTTTTTTTTTTGTTGTTGTAGATAAGAATCTAAAAACAAAGAAAAAATGGAACAAAAGAAGAAAAAAACAGTAGCTTTGTTCATAAGGGAAAAATTATTTTTGATTAAAATTTTCAAAATACATTTACCTTATTATCAAATCTTTTAAATGAAATTAAATGACAAAAAGTGGGAAAGGAGGAGGGGGAAGTGGAATTTAAATTTGGGAAAACGATAGATGGATGAATTTTTTTCTTTTTACTTTTTGCTTCGTTTTTTTTTTCTTTTTTTTTTTATCGGGCCAATCAACACATAACCAAATGAGAGTCAAATTTAACACCCTTATGCAATTAACATGGCACAGTGACCCCAAAAAATAATCGAATAACAGAATAATGCGAATGAAAAAATTTTTGCAACCATACAACCATTTAAAATTTCGTAGATAATTTCAATAGCAATTTGATAAAAATTAAATTTGTCAATTTGTAAGATTGATGAAAATATTACTAAAAATTGATTTACGATAGATAATTTGAAAAATTCTTATCGAATATGTTGTAACATAATAAAAGAATATTATAGTAAAAAAAATTTCATGGAGGAAGAAAGAAATGATAATATATTAAGATGATAAATTGATAATTTGATAATTTTATGGATAAAAAATATAATTTTATATTTCATCGTTAAATTAATAAGTAAAAAAGGTCTTCAATTTATCAACATTTATCAATTAATGATGGTTTTTCAGAAATTATTGTATGCTAAAAATTCTAATTGATTAATTTTTGGTCATTGATAATTGCTAAACCATAGCTAAAACTTAATGAAATGCATTTAGCAATAAGAAACTAGAAAAAACAGTCATTAAAATGAGCAACAATCATATCTAAAAATTACAGTTTAGAAATTTTATAAAATAATTATCAAACTTTTGAGATTTAATTTCAAAATTTATTTTAGGGTCAACCGGTATGGCTTTTTGTGAACAGTGGAAAGGCTCTTTGGGAACCAGCACTAATAGTTGAAACTGATCCTCTAACTGTGCAATTCATTCAAAATGTTTCTATTATTTCATCTTCTATCTATTTGAATATTTCATTATTTTCCTAAATTTTCAATTTAATTTTAAATTGAATGTGAATGTGAAATATAAATCAAGTAGCTAGTTATATTAATTGTATGCTAACTCTGATATAAGGAATGATCATTTTGATTATAAACAAATTCTCTAATTATCAATGTATAATTTATTTTTCAATCATTAATTAAAGGAATTAATTACAGGGTCAAACAATTCCGTTAGAGAATACAGTTAGACTTACCGAACGGAAATTATTCGATCCAAATACTGAAAATTTAGCTACTATTCCGTATGCTTTCTTTTTTTGATCACAGTAAAAAATCAATAAAAATTTTAAGTATAAAATTTTATTCTTAATTAAAAAATTTAAAGAAATATGTTATAGAGATGAATCAGAATCAGCGCTCTTATTTGCTTTGCGTAAACGTTTCGATGCAAAACGTTTTTACGTAAGTTTTATATCATCTTTACTTAATTAAGCATATCATATTATTATGTGTATCCAATATAATGATTATATTTCACAATAAATTTAATAATTTGATAATTAAGAAATACGATGGTAATAACATGGTATGCTTTTTTGGCTTATCTAAAGAGGCTTGTCATTTTTTAATTTTTTAATAACTTAGGACATAACAAAATGATCAAGAAAAAGCTTATGATAATATTTTTAACAATTTCCATTTCCAGTTATTGCGTTTGATCATAATGATAATGACTTTGCAAATAATTCCAGATAATATTTCAATATGTTTTTGTGGAATAAAAAAAAAAATTTAATTAAATTATTATATAAATTTGAAAAATTTTGTAGACATTTGCTGGTGATGTACTAATCGTATTAAACCCATATGATACATTATCAACAATTTTTGATAATACAGTACAACAATTATATCGACAAAGCAATAATCTCAATAGTTTACCAGCGTTAGCTATTTTATAATTTTATTTACTATAAATAAATTTTTGATGATGATTGTTATTTATTTGTGAAACAATTAATGCAATTATATTTATCTGAAAACTAGATCAATTGTATGATTCTATCATATTTTGCATTTTCTAAATTTCAATTAAAATAATATTTGATTTATTTGAATGCTAATTACATGGATATGACAATTCCTGGTACATAATTTGCTTAAGTCTGATTAATATTCCATAATTACAATTAGCTAAATATTCATTGATCTGTTTTCTTTATTTAATTCATCACCATTATTAATGGTTTTATTTTTTTCTAAAAAAAAAAAAAAAAAAAAAAAATTTCATGTTTCTAAAAATTTATTACTATGGTAATGTCTCAAAAATTATGTTAATAAAGGAATTTGATATGGTTGATTAAATGTAAGCTTAATTTAAAAAAAAAAAAAAATGAGTTAAAAAGTCAATTAACTTATTAATCAAAAATTAGTTTCTATTTTTTATTTTTTTTACAGGCATATATTTTCCATAACTCAGAAAGCTTTGGCACGTATTGAAAACGAGCAATCAAAGCATGAATGCATTTGTTTTTGGTATATAACTTCTAAATTAAAACAAATTAACTTAGACTGTTGCAAAAGTTATTGGATGAAACAAAAACAAAAATTTAAATAATAAAAATTCATTGTATTACTATCAAGTATTATTATTACTACACTATATTTAATTTCCTAAATTTTCATTTCTTTTTTATTTCAATATTTATAGTGGTGAATCAGGTTCCGGTAAAACATACAATTTAATACAATGTGCTAATTATTTAATCAACACTTCTACGCAGTATACATTAAGACAAACAGTTACTGTGCAACAGGTATAAATTATATTTTCTTTTTTCTTGCATTATTTTGAAAAATTGTTGAATAAATTTTTTGAATAAATGATATCAATGAAGAAATAATTAAAATTTACCAAATGAAATTTAATAAGATTTTAAACTTTTAACAAATAAAATTAAAATTTTATTAGAAATTTTTTATTACGTAATATTTTAACTCATTCCAAAAATTTCCTTCAATTATTGAATAAGCTTTTTAATATTTAGCTTAAAAATTTGTCATATACATATTTCATTAATCATAATTTGTTATACTATGATAATAATAAAGAGAAAAGATAAGTTAATTATTAATGAATTATAGTTGGATGCAGTGGTACGTATACTCGATGCATTTGGAAGTGCTCGTACGTTAAAGAATACGCAAGGGACACGAATGAGTTATTTTATGGAAATGATTTATCGAAAGTAGTGTAATTATTTTTTTTATGCAAGATTTTACACATCAAAATTTACATTAAATTATTAAATAAGTTTTTTAATATTTAATTTGATGATTTTTTTACAAAGTTTTCTAGCGCAACACTTATTGGTTTTTCTGTTCATACGATTTCACAGCAACAACAACAACAACAACAACAACAACAATTGCAACAACTTCAAATACACGTGGAACTTAGTCGAATTGTTAGTCAACGACTTGGTGAATGCAATTATAATGTATTCTATGAGCTTTGTTCAAGTATGGATATTAATGAGAAACATAAATTGGGTCTAAAAAATGAACAACAATATTTTTACTTAAATCAGGTAAGTAACAAGATATTATTACATAATAAGAAATATGCAAAATAATCATATTAAAAGCCGTTAGATATGATTTTCAGGATTTAAAAAACAATTTGAAAAATTTTATAACCAATTTTTAACATAATTTGTAAATATATCAATTTTATATTACACTGTTGTAACCGATCCACTTAAAATGTTCGAAGAGGCTTAACTACTATCAATTTTGATAATACTTTATTAGTTTTAATGATAATAAATAATAAAATTTATCAATTTCTATTCAACTATAACATTAACTGTGATAATTTAGGGTAAAGTTTCAATGGATCCGCTGCTGCTATGTAAAAAATACGAAAACCTTTGCAATTCATTTGAGTTATTAGATATTAGTGAACATCAACAGGATTTCATTCAACATATTCTGGCTGCTATTTTGCATATTGGCAATTTGTTCTTTAAGGTTACTAAGGTAATCATTGTTTTGCTTATTATTAGCAAAATCTCTTTTTTAAGAAATTTTGAAGAATTAGAAAATTAAAAAAATTAAAAGCTAAAAAATTTTAGCAGAGAAATGGTGCTATAAATGAAACAAATGATCAGTCTAATGATATTGTGACTGTTGTTGAAATAGGCAATGAACAGGAGCTAAAATGGTGTGCTTATTTGTTGGAGGTTGATTTGGAATCGTTAAGTCAATTATTAACACAGAAAGAAGTGGTTAGTTAAGTTAAAAGTTTTACAGAAAAAAAAATTAGTTTAGAATTGATAGGTTTTCTAATATATGTGAAATTTAATAAGCTGCAAGAATTTGAAATTGTCAAGGTAGGTTGAAATGTCGCTATAAGTTAATATTGTTAAGCTAATACTTTGGAATAATATGAATGCGAATTTTGGTTAATTTTAAATATTACAATAATCACAGTTGAATTTGAGATCATTCAAAAAGAACTGAAATATAGAATTAATTGATATAAATAAGAATTGAAGTATAAAACAAAATTATCCATATGCATATTGCAATGAAAACATAAATGTGGCAAATTTTAATTGTAACAGAATTATAACATAACATAATTAACATAATTGGCATGATTTGACATAACATAATTAGCATAATTTAACATAACATAATTAACATAATTTAACATAAACATAATTTATTAGCTGCTAAAAATTTGAAACTGCTATTTCAGAAGACCAGTGAGGAAAGTGAAATAGCACTAGTGCCATTAAGCATTGAACAAGCATTAGATGTCAGGTAACTTTTAACTTTCAAAAATTAAAAGTTTTTAAAAATCATTTGTTTGTTTACCTGCAGAAATTATCTATTGTTTAGTTTTTGAAACAAATTATTTGCTGGATTGCTTTCTTCCTCTTCATAATCATTATTTTCAAAATTTTCAAAATAATGAAAAAAAAAAAAAGAAATCACAGATGTATTTTGATATAACATATTACAGAGATTCACTTGCTCAATTATTGTATGAGCAATTAGTTGATTGGATTTTACAACGTATCAATGGAACAACAATGAATGGATGTAACTTTATTAACAGTAATGATATGGCTACAATTGTACTTACTGATTGTTATGGTTTTGAGGTATGTAATATTTCTTTTTTGATACTGTTTATGATTTGATAATTTAATTACATATCAGTGCTATTGCTTCTTTTTTCTGAAAATTGATTCCAGTAGCCTGCAATTTAAAATTGCTCTGTTTAATTTAAATTAAATTGTTTATTGTTTTAAAGCATTTAATTTTGGTGAAATATTTATATTCTATCATATCAGTAATATATCGAAATTTAAAATTGAAAGAAGAAATAAAAGTACGATAAACAATAGAGAATTATTATACTGAAATTGATTTAGTTAGAAATATCCCATAAATATTTCTTTCATTTAGACTAGAAATTTGTTTTATTTGATATTATATGGTATATTTTTGGGTTGTTTTCTGAAAATGTGTCAACAAAATGAATAGAATTGGTTGAATATATTAAATGTTTCATTTTAATAAAATTTCGATGTCAATCAAATAAAATTTATTATTATCATTGATTAATAAGTGGTTTATTTGCAGCGTTCCACAGGTATGAATGGATTCGAACAGTTTTGCATTAATTTGTATAATGAGCGATTGGAATGGTACTATCAGCAAAAAGTGCTGAGAGAATTGCAATGGGAATATCAAAAAGATAACATTTCAGGAGTTGATATGCAAGTAAACTTTTCAAGCAAAATTGATAAAGAAGTAAAGTTTAAAAGTAAACGTTTAGTGAATTTCAATTGCTAAAAATATGTAATATAGTCGATTTAGCATATTAAACAATAATAGATTTAAAAAGACTTTTGAAATTAAAATTTGAAAAATAGATATAAATAATTTAATCCAATGAAAAAAATTTTCATTTTTATAGTCCATTCAATGGTTTAATAATGAACCAGTTATTGAGTTACTCCTTCAACGTCCAAATGGTTTACTTCCAGCATTAGATGATGAAACGAAATTTCCTAAAGTTTGCTTTATTTCCTAATCCTTCTTATTGTTTTCTATTTTTTTCGGATCCGGAAGCCACAGATAATTATTTTTTAACTGAGGGAATTCATGATACTATCTCTTTTTCCAGTTCTGCATTAAAGAAGGTATCTTGTCCATCAAATAGTAGAAATTAATTAGCAATCCTATGAAATAAAAAATGTTTAAAAATCTGTGAAAATACCGTATCCAAATAAAATTTTACCATTTCAAGGCATCTGCTGCTCGTTACTTGCAACAATGTATTCTCAATCATCAACAATCTCCTCGACAGTTATTTACTACTAAAACTGTATCAACAACAACTGCTACAACTGCAACAACAATTGTTTCTGGCTCAATGGATAGACATGAATTTGCTATTCGCCATTATGCTGGTCAAATTTGGTATGATTGCGCTCAATTTGTGGAGAAGAATCGCTTGCAAATTAGATCGGAAACAATAAAGCTACTTGCTAATAGTCAAAATTCGGTAAAAACAGATTTAATATGTCTTTTTTTGTCATAATTAACAGGCATCATATTTTGAATTGTAAATGAGATTATACCAGAATGATGTAAATTTAATTATCAGTAATTTGTAATAAATTATATCCGATTTCTTGGATTATTTTTCATAAATGTATTTTGAAAATTCAAGAGCAACTGATAAAAATTGATTGATTGATTGGTTGATTTAATTGCTCAATAAATTTTGAATTAAACAAAGTACAATAAATATTTTTATAGTCAATTGCTCAAATGTTTCAATGTTTCACAACAAACAGTACGAAATCAACACCGCAACAGTTATCGGATGGAACAATTTACGTTGCACAACGATATAATCGAGCAGCAAAAGCACTTATTGATAAAATGAATAAGTAAAATTTCATTTACCATTATTTTTTCAATCATATCTTATAGAAAGATTACTGTAAAAAGATTACTGTGAAGGTATCGTATCCATCCACAAACCTTTAAAAGGCTACGGTAAGAATATTGTATGCATCTATTAATCTAGATAAACTTAAAATGATATTTTTTAACTTACAGATCCGATTTATTGTTTTAATTCTCAATGATTAATCATTATCAATCAATATATACGCGGAATGTATGCATGTTGTAGAGGTACTGTACAATTTGTACGTTGCATGCGTAGTAATCAGGAACGTGAAACGCTGAAATTTTGTCCTCAAACAGTGGCACGACAGCTAAGATCACTTTCATTGCTTGCTACCACCAATAATTATCGTTTTGGATTTCCATATCGAGAACCATTTGATCGATTCGCCGTAAGGTCCGATAATTTCAACCAGAATTCAATTCCTTATTGTTATTAAATTATTCACATTTTTCGAATTTGTGATTCCATATGACTTAACAAATTTTTATTGCAAAATTTCATAGCTATTAAGAAAAAAACATTACAGTTACTCACAACTACGAATCAGCAGATATAAAAAAATCGATAAGAGAGGAAGGAATAAAAGCAACTTTTTGATAAAATGAAATAATTATAAAAATTCAGATATCGATGTTTACTACCATTAGATATAGTTCATTATCAAACGGTATACGAATTATCTAAAGATATCCTTGAACAACAGGGTAATAAATTCCATCAACATTACCGATTAGGTAAGCAGCTCATTAATATAATATTTTCTAAATTTCAAAAATCATTTAAAAATTCTTCAAGTTATATATTATAATAATACATCAAAATATATCATCTTTAATTCACTAAATTTAATTCATGATTACTTCTCTTATTTTTTATTAGGTAAAACGCAAGTATTTATGCGTGAACCATTACGTGAACATTTGGAAACTCGTCGTAATGTACTACTTAATAGCTCCGCTATTGTAATACAAAAAAATTTACGGAAATGGTTAGCAGAACGGAAATTTGCGAAGAAACGACATGCTGCTATAGTCTTACAATCGGGTTTACGAGGATGGCGTGCAAGGTAAATGGAAGGGAAATCAATAATTCCTATTTATACTATTAATTAGCCAGAAAAAAAAAAAAAATAGCAAATTCCATTAAAAAGTAACAAAATTTGTAAGTTATATATTGAAGACGTGAAGTTGAACGTCGCCGAAAAGAAATTCGTAAAGCTATTGATATGGAAACTCGAAAGATACGTCGCCTGAATTTATACGCAGAAACGGAGGAAGGATGTGAAAACAATACCGTATTAGCAACGGAATATAATCAAACAATGGATTCATCATCTGTAGCTGATGTACAGTATTTAGATTTACCAAAAAGCGTTGAGAACGATTTGAAGAAAGGATTATTTTCTAACAGGTAGGTATTATCAGTTATTTTAATCATCATATGATCAGTGAATTTATAGAGGTGTGATTTAATTTACTTAAGTTATAAAAATTACTTAACTAATGAGTAATTAGAAGAATATTTAAAATAAAAATGAATTTGCTAAGTAATGAACCAATTTGCAGGATGTCTGATATTCGAACTGTATATCATTATATTCCATATAACAAGCGTATCGGTAAATCGTTAGAACTTCCTATGGAAACCATTGAACAGTTTGCAGAAAATAATTTTAAAGTATGTATTAATTTGACGTAAGCTATGATAACAAATTACGTGAACTTTTCTCTACGATTGCTATGTAATCATAAATGATCAATAAATAGATTAAAATATTAAAACTATCAAATTTTGGCCTGCAAATAATATTTTAAATTCTTTGAAAAGACCGCGAATAAATGAATAATTAACAAAAACGAAAATTGTCGAAGTTCATAGCAAAATTTTTAAACTTCCAACTAATCATATATTTACTTTAAATTTGAAATATATAAAAAAGACACTAAAATTTATTTTTAAACTTGAATTATTCATTAATAAAGCATGCAATTTTCTTTTTTCCTAATCAATTCGTTATTTTAAAAGATGGTAAATGTAAAAAAAAAAAATCAATTGGTCAATTATAATTTATTTATTTATCAATTGTTTTATCAATTGAAAATCAATTAGTCAATTATAATTAACTTATTTATAGGGCCATTTGCTACAAATGCGACGTGAACCAATTGCTACACCATTTTTACATAAAGAAACTGAAATGGAATTTAATCAATCGTTGGAAATGTTTGCAATGATATTACGATATATGAATAATACACAAATGAATAGTGAACAATTAGCAATTCTTGGCAAAGCAATAATTCAAACAGTAAGTATTATTGCAATTAAATTCATATAACTAATCAATGATTCACTTTTATAAACTAAAATTTAAAATAATCTGAGTTCATTCATCAGATATTTGAAATATTGTATAATTTATAATCTGTTCTCTAACTCATCCAAATGATCCAATTTATTTTGCAGTTTCTTATTTTGTTCCAGTGATTTATTCACTGAATATTACTTAACAAAATATTTTCAACTATGATTCATTTTTTATAAGATATATAAAAATTGAAATAATCTGATCATATTCATGATTTAATGACTTAAAACCTTACTATCATTATTGATATTAAATAAGTGATAAAATAAATCTGATAACTATTCCTTATTCATCGACAATCTGTCAGTCATTGTTTATCTCACCTGTAAATCATTTTGTTTAATAGTTGGCGACAATATTAGTAAAATCAATAAATATTCTTGATTATGCTAGTTTTATTCTTATTTTTTTATGTTGTATTTTGTTAACATTTTTCTTAACTATTCTTAATTATACTAGTTAAAAAAAAATGAATTGAAAAAAATACCATCCTGTTTTTTTGAGTTTAAGGAAAAAAAAGTAAATTCAAAAGTTGAAATTTTTATTTTGAATTAATTAAGGAACTTCGTCCTAAAAAATTTTAATATTTTAAACAGAAAAAGTAAATTTTAATTATAAATGAATTTTAGAAATAAATTTTAGGCATTAAATAATCCGACACAAAGGGATGAACTTTTGGTGCAACTTTGTACTCAAACATATCGTAACGGAGTGAAAAATAATGCTGATAAAGCTTGGACATTACTTCTTGGTGCAATTAATAGCTTCACACCTTCACCACAACTATTTCCTGCTCTTATGAAGTAAATTTCTCTCCTAAGTAATTTAACTCTCTCCTAAGTAAATTTCATACCTATACTATAGCTCTATCCTTTTGCTATGAAATAAGTTTTTTAATGAAAAATACAAGTGGAACCTTTTTAATTTCAATAATTAAATTACTGCGGGATAAAAAATTTAAATTGTTCGTAATTTTGCAAAATATCAATGAAAAATATATCGATTGATACGAAGAAATTAACAAATTTTAGGAAAAAATAAGTAATATTAGATATTAAATGTCATTATATAGTATAAAGCAAAAGAATATCTTTTTAACATTTATTTTTTCTTTCTTTTTATTTTAAATTTAAATTCATAGTTATTTCGAACAACAAACACCAAATTTATCACGACAATTAATCGATAGCTTACTACGACAATGTATTGGTAATAAAGATTTACCAAAATTTCGTTATTTTGCACCAACATTCCTTGAACAGGTGAATTTTCTCTTTTTTTTACTACCTTAATTAATTATTATTCTTTTCATCATTAATCACTAATTATTATTATTATACGAGGTGACGTTTTGCTGTGACAATATTCAATAACATTTGAAAATAAAAACGAATGCATTCTAAAAAATAAGAGGATTATAAAATAAGTGATGGTAATATTGTTATATTATGTAGATTAATTTTTTCCACATAAAAACACAATCCACTCTCAAGTAATTAAATTAGTATATTAATCAATTCTGAATTGGAAAACATTTTCTAATTTTGATTATTTAAAAATTTATCGACAAATTATGCATTTTAACTTTTTGTTTATAGAATGTGTCCTATGCAAATGGTTTTCTCCTTTATTTTCTTTATTTTTCTATATATAACAATAATATGAATTAGTCTGAATCATTAAAATTAACCTGAATCAAATTTATTTCTATCAAATTAGCATAATTTTTTTCAATTTGAGTTTGTTAAATTATACATTTATTAAATTTGAATTTGTTAAATTATGTATTATTTATATTGATTAGTTCCATTTCAGTAAATCATTAACATAGATTTTCTTTCTTTATTTTTTCGTTTTTTTTTTTAAGGCTAGTTTTAAACAACAACAAGCTGCTGTATTACGAATTAAATGTGCTGATCAACATGAAGCATTATTTGAAGTGCATTCTTGGATGACTGCTGATGAATTAGCACAAAGATGTTTGCAAATTCGGTGAGTTTTTTGATAATTTAATTCTAGTAATTAGCTAATTAATTAATCATTAATTGGATACTGAATAATTTCCATTACGTTAGTATTATCATTTTGTAACTTTAATTTGATTAATTTTAATTTAAACATTTTTTATAGTGGTATTGGTGATCCAGATGGTTGGACATTAAGTGTGGAAGATGAACGTTTTGCTATATTTGCACCAGGAAATTGTTATGTTTATGATATATTAGCACAAATGGAGCAACAATCAATTGGTTGTTTATTTTTTGTTCATTAAGTAAATTGAGTAAATTTCTATTAATTTATTAATAAATTAAGTCATGAATTAATTTTTATAATTCATAATTTATTTTATTTATTTATTTAATTTGCTTTGCTTCATGTTAATTTACTTTTCTTTTTGATAATGTTTGCATAATTGTAGAAAGTAATAATGGAATTTTTATCATGTATGATAATAGCATTAATTGGAAAGTTTCACGAAATAATGGAAAAGTTATGGGAAGAGAAATATTGCAACAAAATGAAACTGATAATAATACTGCAAAACAGGTAAAATGCATATTATTATAAATATTTGCAGGTAAATTAAATGCTATTTTAAATTATTATTTCTTTAGGAAATATTCCTTTTTGTTTATCTTTAGGAGTTTATTTTCCTTTTTTTTTTTTTTTTTTTTGTTACATCCATATTTTTGTTGAGTACCAATAATTACCCAACAAAAAATACAAATAATTGCTGAAATAATATTTTTTTACTCTTTGATTTTTTATTTTCTTATAATTTCAATGTTTGCTTCAAATTTTCTTTTCAATATTGAGTGCTGAAACAACAACCAAATGACAAAATTATTTTACTTTCTTTAAAATAAAATGAAAATATATAGAGAAATATATTCGATAAATAATTGAAAATTAAAAAATAAAAAAAAAAAGTACAGTTGTGACATTTTTCAGAATGATATTTTACCAAATCGTTTTGCAACAAACACCAAACGACAATCACGACAAGAACAACAACCAATGGTACCACAACGATCGGTGCAATTTGTACCAGAAGCAATACAAAATGATTTATATGCTGAATCTAGGCTAAAAGAATCAAATTATCGAACATTTGATACAGATACATCTATTTATGAAGGAAATACAACAAAAACACCTCCAATACCACCGCCACATTGGGATTCAAATTTAAATGAGCACCAATCATATCGTCAACAACAACAGTACAAAATTGAAGAAGAGGAAGGAAAAGATGGGTATGAGTTAGCTGTTTTTAAAATGGAATTTATCAAAAAGATGGGTATGAGTTTGTTTTAAAACTGAAATTTTTTTTTTTTTTTAAATTATTATTACTTTTTTCTTTAGGAAATATTTCTTGAGGAAATAGATGTAGTCATTTTGTCAAACTTACAAAAATAAATTAAAAAATGAGTATAATTTTTAAGTATAATTTTTTCTTTTTGTTGTTGAATAATAATAATAATACTATTTGTTTTATTTTCAATTTTATTTTTACCTAATTTATTATCAAATTTAAAATCTTGGTGTATCTCATTTAAAGTTTGATAAAATCTTGAAAGATAAATATGTAGAGAATATTTTCAGTGAATGTTTATATGGTCAACAACAGCAAGCATTACCAGAATTATCAGCAAGTACTTTAAACAATCGATATAAAATTAATCAAAATCCTGGTATGTTTATCAATAATTCTTTGTTTATTTCAAATTTATTATATTTATTAATATTTATTTAATTAAATTTATATATTTTTTTTTAGATCCTACAAATAATTTCAACAATAATTATTATTATGATACGGTAATGGATCGTAAACGTTGTGATGATAACATCTACGGTAATGTTAACTATGATGGTCGCAATATGATAGATGATGATAATTTATATGTTCGTTTTTCTTTCCTTTTTTTTTAAATTTTATTTTCATATTAATAATTACTTTAATTTTACAATCGCTCATTATTTATCTGTAATAATAGCTAAAACAATAACAGCAAAAGCATCAACAACGTGATAGTACATTGCAACGTTATCGACGTCAACAACAGCAATTTGTTGAACTTCGACAACAACAACAACAACAGCAATATGATCAGCAACGCAATTTTGCTTATATACCACAACAATTTACTGCGATGGCTACTATTGTAAGAAATGCTAATTGTTAATTGATGCATTTATTTTTTCTTGCACATTTTATTATAATAGAATAATAATTCTTAATAATTTATCGAGGAAAACTATCCATACAAAGCATTCATAGCTATATTAATTAGATATGTTATCATTAAGATAATTTAAATTTTCCAATTATATACAAATACATAGTTTTTGAAAAAATAAAAATTTGCATTAATTAAAATCTTTACGACAATTATATAAAATAATAGTCAATAATTATAAAAAAAGAAGCATAAAATGATTAACAAATTTTTTTTTTTTTTTTTTTTAAACGATAATCACTGATATATTTTAAACAATAATTAATAATTTTTTATTATTTTTTTCAATTTAATTTGGTTTTTTTCGTCGATTTTTTTCAGCCTTTTGTACCAACTCAGGTACAATTTATGCCTGTAATGCTTCCAACTACATCATTCTTACCGCCACAACAATTACCGCCACAGCTATCACATCAACAAACAATGATAACTGCTGTGGAAAATACAAATGGTAAATAATTTCAATTTAATTATTTTATATTTATCATACAATCAATTAAATGTGTTAATTGATAGTAGCTGTTACTACCATTAGCTGTATATTACATTTGTGTATTCTGTCGTACTCTTTTTAGTTCTAAAACTTTGGAAATTTATATAGTTTTATATTTTTAGGATTTTAAAACTAATATACTTTTCCTTTTTGAATTTTCTAGTTCTTCAAAACATAGAATTAGAAAAGTCAAAAAGAAAAAATAGAAGAAATTAAACAAACAATAATAAATTGAAGTGTATAAAAAACAGTGGAATAAGTTATTGCTTTAATTATTTTGCCAAAATTTTTGTCTTCTTCCTCTATCTTTACCATAATTTTATTTAGGACAGCAATTAATTAATCAACAGCTAAATGCGACAAATGTGTCATCATCATCAACAACTGTTCTTATGAATACCATTGATAGCAATAATATGCAACAACATCATTCTGATATTTTTACGGTACAAAAATTTCAATTTATAATAAAGTTTAAACCATAAATCAAAGATTGAAGTGTACAAATCTTCAAATAGAAATTTAAGTCATATAAACTTGAATGAAATTATGAATTCAGTAACATTAAAGTTATAAGCAATCTTACAAATTTAATAATCATATTACAGCAACATGGAGAATTAGAAACACATGCCTTGTGCTGTTCAACACCACAACAATTAAATCAACTAGCTGGTGAAAAATTAATTTAGAAATTTTATTTTTCATTTCTTTGAATTCACTTTTTCTTTTTCTTCGAAGTTACATAAAAGTTTTTGTGATAAATAAATTTTAAAGCTACTCGATTTAATAAAATAAATCAACCAATAATAGGTTAATCAATCTGCTAAAATGGATTAATTGAAAATAATAAATTAGTAGACTATAAAGTTATTTAATTATTTTTAACAACTATCATAACTATTACCAAAATAATTCATAAAATATTGTTTTATAAATTAAAAGAATTTCTGATTCTTTTTATTTTCAGAAGAATCGCTAATTAGCGCTCCATCAGAGCAATCATCCGTCTCAACACGCATCAGACGTATGCAAATTCCAACGAAAGCAAGTGATGTCGATCAATTCTTGGATGCTATCTTTGAACAGGTATCAATTAACTAAGTTTAAATTATTATTTTTTTGAACTTATTCTTAAATATAATTTACTGAATTACTACTGTTAAATGATAATAAGATGAACTAAATTTGATAACTTAAATTTAAATTAAATATTGCAATTTTGAAAGAAAAAATTAATACTTCAAATTTAGATTACAGAATTTTAATTCCAAAAATTTTAATATTTTAAACTTAGGAACATATTCTCAGGTTTTGCCAGCAAATGATCTAGAACAAACCGATGATAATCATTTCAATGCTGCAATGATAACTAATACAATTAAAGGAACTCTTTCTACTGATGCCAACGACACTTTACAATCGGTTAATTTTACCTTTTTCTATCAATTTTATGGCTATAAAAAAATTACATTATTTTTAATTAATTAAATTAATATTCTAATTATTCCAATTTTTTTTTCTTGCATATTTCATATTTTAGACATCACAACAATGTATGACAACAACGATAAATTATGCAGCACAACCAATGATGTTAATGCTACCTGTAGAAAGTATTGATTTCATTTCTTTTGTTTGTTTTTTTTTTTATAAATTTTCTTTTAAAGTAACAAATAATAATGAAAATTTTTTAGGTCGTATGCTTACTTCAAGTCAACAACAACAACAACAAAATCAAGAACAAGTTTATGCTAATAATACCATAACTAATGGTACTATCACTAATACACCGTTATCACCAGTAATGCCAATTATGGTACCGGTTAGTTTCCCTTTTTTTCTTTCCCTCCCTCTCTCTCTCTCTCTCACCTCTTCTATTCATCATAATTGATTTCAATTTGAATTTACACTTATCATATAATTTATATCAGCATTGATAAAATTATTTTAATTATGGTAATTGAATGATAATTTTTAATTTGTTACTGAAAACAAAAAGAAGAAAAAAAAAAAACAGAATTCTAGCTGAATGATGAATATTTAATGATTTGAATGAAAATAAATTCAAATAGATTAATTATTGTAAAAAAAAATATTTCAATTTTAGTTTAACATTTAGTACTATATAATTAGATAGATCATATTGATCGTTTTTTTTTTTTGTATTTTTGTTAAATTTTATTATTTTTTCTCTTTCTTACACTAAGTTTTGATTGATAAGCATTTTTAGATGATGTGTATGTCACCGACACCAACCACAACTGTTACAGCATGTTTATCACCAGTACCGTTTAAGTATGTTTATTTAAATAAATTTCATTATCACTATTCTATGATATGATAAATTTTTTCTAATGAAAATATATAAAGTTTCATTCATATTTATAAGGAAAAAAATAGAAAAGTTTTGCTTGCTAATGCTAGCAAATTTGAATAAAGGAAAAAAAGAGGAGAAAATAACTCTGATTTTTTTAAGTATCATAAATGGCTACTGGGATCATAACTAATTTATGCGAGTTCAGATTTAATTTATAGATGAAAACGAAATGAAAACTACTTTATAATGGAGACTTTATGCATTTTCATAAAATTGATTTCTTCCTGGCATATTATTTTAACCATTATTTTTAATATTATATTTTTTTGTACTATATCTCGAAGTGTTATGTTATGGTTTTAAATTAGGTTATTAGAACAATTTATGCTTTAAAAAGAGAATATTCACTTTTCTATCTTATTTTAAATAATGAATTAATTACTTTATCAGTCAATAAATTGTTGCTTGATCAGTTCTATTATATTTACTCACTGGAACGACTGTTGATTTTTCCTTTCTTGAAGAATAAATTAAAATTTTTTTGTTAATCTAATTTTTAGATTTTCATAAGATCAATCATTTTTCTAACCAATCTATCAATTTGAGAAATTCAATAGCCAATGATAGTGTTTCACAACCAATTGAACGAACATTATCACCAATATCGGTTTGTTACAATTATAATGCAACATCTACTCCGTGTAGCAATGGTATTTTGACGTCTAACACGTACGCAAATGGTACTATGACGTCTAAAGCGCATATAAATGGCACTAACCATAGCGAGGTTCGGTTTTTTTCTTTTGAAAACAGAAAATGCTTCAAGAAATTTCATTTTATTTATGATTGTCTATGATCGCTTCAATAACTTTAATCAATATCCATCAGATCAATCGATCGGACTATTAATTTAAATAATTTTTCTCAAAATATTTTTTAAAAAAAATTGCTAAATATAACAGGACGATAAAACATAAAATAAAAAAAAAAAAGATGAAAAAATTTTGATCAAATATTTTAACTTACATATTAGCATATTTATTTTATTAATAATTTTTTTATTTTTAATTTCATATCGCTTAATCCTTTGATTACTATTATATAAATTATATTCGTACCATCAAACTTTATTCGTTTTTGTTTTTTTTTTTATCATCAAATTTTATTCTTATTATCAAACTTATTATCACTATGCCTTAATAAATCTTTGATTCAATTCATAATTTCTATAATTTTGATTTTTTTTTATAGCGTAATAATGGCGAATTATCAGGCTCATCAACTACAATGATAATTGCAAGTTTGCTTAGAAATTCTATAATTTCATTTTAATACTGTATTAATTATTCAAATTAATTAATTAATTAACTTTACATGATTTACCTAATTTTACAATTAAGCTAAAAGAATACTTTTAATCAAGTGAGAAAAATAACATTTACAATGATTTTAGATCAATAATATTATCTTTTTCTTTATCTCTCTCTCTCTCTCTCTTTTCCTTCTGTTCCTTAAATTTAAATTATTATTTTTTTTTTCAGCGCTCTTCACCACTGCCCGAAATAGCACAATCACCAACAAATTTAGACGAGAAAGGTCGCGTGGGTCAAATACAACCAACGTCAACCAAAGCACGGTAGACAGTCGTGATGTTATCAATAGATTTATTATTATCAATATATAAATATATATTTCTTTATATGCTTACATGTTTATTTATTAATGATATGTTTATAAAATGTTTATTTATTTACAACAGCTTATTTACAAAATATTTATTTCTTTATAATAATATGCTTATATTTATTTATAATAATATGATCATAAAATATTTATTTATAATATGCTTATAATATATTTATTTATTTATAATAATATACTTATAAAATATTTATTTATTTATAATAATATACCTATAAAATATTTATTTATAATAATATGTTTATAAAATATTTATTTATAATAATATGTTCATAAAATTTTTATTTATAATAATATGCTTGTGAAATATTTATCGATAATAATATGTCTGTGAAATATTTATTTATTTTTAATAATATGCTTATTTATAATAGCATGTTTGCAAAATATTTATCAATTTTTAATAAATAGTACGTCTATAAAATATTTAATAAGAAAAAATGTCCCAATTATTAATTTCTAGAATTTTTGCACTTTTTTTGAAAGAAAGGGAAGAATTGCGAAAAAAGTAAAAAAGATTTAAGAATAAAGAAAAAAAAAAAAACAAAATAAAATATGATAATGAATGGATGTCCGTCCAATGAATTTTCAAGACAAATTAAATTGAAATCAATTTTTTAAGTGTTTTTTTTTTTCTTCGAGAAACACTGAGAGAATAAAAAAAAGAAAATTTTTGAAGGAATTTATATGACAAAATAGTGTGTCAAAATAATATTTTTAGATACGAAATTTTAATTCCTCAATTAAAAACTCATCAAAGTTAATATAACAAATGCAATCATAATTAATAAAACTTTCATTACTTCTGTAAAATGTGAATTAATTAATTATAGATATATTGGACCAGTGCATCCACAAACAAATGAATGCTTGAAGAGTCCAACATTAGCAACAAAAAATTCGCAGTGTAGACAAAAGGTGAAGTAATTTTTTCTAATTTATTAATCCATTTTCTTTCAAATTAATAAAATACTTATTAAAAGATTACCATTAATTAATAATTATAGGCTTAAATAATAACTAATCAAGAATTATGATTATAGCTATAAAATATTTTGTTTCTATCATAGCACAAATGTGCCAAGAAATAGGCTAATAAATGATCATTTTAAATTATAGGAACAAAATCACTCTCAACATCAGCAATTGGACTATATTAGAAATCAATTTAGTCCTACTGAAGCAGACGAGAATTATTATTATGGTACAGCTAAACGTGAACAAATATATTCAGGTTAATATTACAGGATAATGTAAACTTTTGAAAATAGGTCAGAAAGGATAAATTATGAATTTTTCAAATTAATATTGTCATTCTTTGTGTATCACTTTTTCATTGAAAAAATCTAATTTATGTTCTTTTAAAACTTTTATGTATTACTAATTTATATATTAATTCCAAAAAAAAAAGAAAAAAAAAAGGAAAGAAAGATTGTGAAAATAATATTAATTCTAGAGCGAAAAAAAAAAGCTAAATTGTAAATTTTTAAAGTCAACATCATCATTTTTTGTCAATCATTTTTTTTTTTTTTTTTCAAAAAAACTAATTTACTTGTTTTTCGACTTTTATATATTAATAATTGATATTTGGTATTTGTCATATTAACTCAAAGAAGAAAAATGCGATTTAATAATATTAATTTCAAGTCGAAAAAAAGCTAAATTGTAAATTTTTTGAATTAAAATTATCATTCTTGCTATATATTTGTTAATAAAAAAAATCCTTTTCATACAATTATCAATGATAATACCTCATCATTCCTGTTTCTTCATAAAATGCTGTATACATTTGCTTATCAGTGTTGTTATTTTATTGATTTTTCATTTATCACTTAAATTGCTTCATTAAATTTAGCAGTTAAATTTGTTAAAATTCATTTTTTAACTTACTTCAAGTTTTGATTTATTGTGATAAAAACTAGCAATAGCATGCTTATCTCTTAATTATTCTTAATAAATTTATATTTCTAAAAATCAATAATTTTTAGGAAGATCTGCAATATCATCACAAGATAATATCATATCATCATCATTATCATCACATCCAAATCAAACATTACGACGAACACAGCAATGCTTTCGACCGCAATCATCGTTATCACCATCACCACGATTGGTTACTAAACCGGAAACAGGATTCGGTACAAGAATTACTGATAGCAATGAAATCATTTATGGCAACAATCTTTCAAAATTGGTATTTCCTTTTTTCATTCCTTCATTTTTTTGTTTTTCCGAAGTGTAATTTTGAGATATTTAAATCATGAATGAAATGCTTTTAATAAAAAAAAAAGAGAGAGAGAAAGGTACAAAATATTTATTTGAACATTTTGAAGAAAAAGAATTTTTAAAAGTGTCTATGATTAATTAAAATAGAATATTTGAATGTATCAATTTGTAGAACATTTATGGTAGTCCAGCAATACGAAATACAAATACGAGAGATTCGGATAATATCGTAAGGGAGAAAAAATCATTGAGAGCTGTTGTTGAATTTGAAAATGATGCATTGAGAAGAACTGGTGGAAGAGCAAAAGTAAGTTTATTAAATATTAGTAAATTTATCAAATATTTTATTTACTAGAAAATTAATTAATTAATTTTTTTGTTTTTTTACATACTTATTAATCAATTAATTTTCTTTATTTTCAATTTGATTATCAATTGAAAGATGTTAAATTCTCAAATGTTATCCATTCAATCTTATTTACCTTTTTTATTGACTATTTGTGATAATCCTAAAAAATAGTACTTCTTATGATAAAGCAAACTCAATGATGAATAATTTGAAGCAACAACAACAAGATTTGGAGCAACAACAAATATTACATCATCGTTCCGAATTTGATAACGAAACATCAAGGCCAAGTTCTCGACGTCATAATGATACATTAAAGGAAGTAAATATCTTATCAGTAAAACATAATAAATTAAATTAAACTATCACTAAAACTAGCATTGCATGCAAACAGTGATTTATTTTTATTTATTTTGTTATTTATTATCAAATATTTAGTTTTCTGAAATCAATTTTTTAGCTATAATATGAATAAAAATGATACGCATTAAGCAATTAATTGATTGTCTTGAGATTATATTTTTTTTTAAAATTATTGAAAAACAAAAAAAGCTAGAGAGAGGAAAATTCTGAATAACTCATATATTTTATTTTATTAAGCATTTCAAAATCAAACAATTTGTTTATGAAAATGTGAGCAACGTTTTGATTTATAATAATAAATTGAACGCATAAGAATTTGAAAATCTTTTCGGAATTTCCTCTAATTTCTTTTCTTCTTTTTGAAATTAAACAACAATTTATTTTTCTTTTCTTCATTTCAAAAATCTTTTTTTGCTTTTACAGTTAGAAGGAAAACGAGAAACATTTGGAGAATGGATAGATGAAGTAGATATAACGAAAAATAATGCGCAAAATCATGCTCAAATAATGGCGGAAGTTGCAATTCATCAGGCTCATTTATCAAAATTACAACAACAACAACAATATTATATGCAAGATGATGATTACAATAAGCAATACTACAATGACAATGTTCAACAACAACAACAACAAAAACACCGACAACAACAAATTGATAAAACGTATTTTATGCATGATGGTGTGTTTTTAAAATAATTTTATCGTAATTATTGGTAAAAATTCTATTTATCATTACTGCTATCATATCAATTATAACATTTGACAATAATTTCATTTAGAAATAAATTAATAATAATCCATTTATTTCTATGATTTTTCTATAAATTTCGTTTTTTTTTTTCTTTCTGAATTCTTCTAATTTGAGACATTATTTTCTGATCATAATTATTTGTAATTTTTATTTTAAATTATGAAATTTATATTATAAAATTATCATAATGTAATCGTTTCTTTAATTAATTAATTAGGTCAACAAAATGAGCAGCAACGTGAACGTCCAGCTGTGCAATATATTCAGCAACCATGGGAATTAATGATACGCAAACAAGTAGGAAATGAAAATTTTTTAAATTTCATTTATTTCAATTTTATTTAAATTTAGTGCTTAATTGAAATATCTTTTTTCTTGGCAAATTTTCTTTTGTTTAACAAATTTTTATCAATAATTTAAACTTTTTTGAGTAAATCATTTCATATATTTCAATAAACCGAACTTTCTTTTACTTCTTTGTAACTATTTATTTACTTTTAGAAATTTAATCTTGTTTCAAAAAAAAAAAACGAACTTTTATTTATAGATATTTCATCCTAATGAACAACTTGGAGAAGAGCAAGAAATTGATTTAATTTTTACTCAAATTATTACCGACTGTCGTAAACCTAAAAGTTATCGAATTCATAACAATGAACGTGATGCTATAAGTCAAATCTTACGTATGTTTCGCAAAAAAATTTTTTTTTCATGGATAAAAATTATAAATAAAATATTTGATAAGTTTTTGATTTGATTTTTTTCATTGCAAAATTATATAATTGATATCTGTGCTAAATTTTATTCATAGATAAATCATTTGAATAATAAATCTAATACTAAAAGATTTATTAAATTTAATAATTTGAAAAAAAAAAAAATTTAGTAACAAATAAAAAACATCGAACAATTTTTGAGAAAAAAAGATCTTTTTTTAAATAAGTTCAAATTATTAAAAAAATAAATAAAAGAAAAAGAGTAATTAGTTTGATTTATTTGGAAAAAAAAATGAAAGAAATGAAACAAAAAAAAAAATCAATTTTATAATTTTGAAATAAAAAAAAAAAATTACCATTGCTTTATTGAAGTATGAATTAAATTGACTAAATTAAATTACTTTTAGGTAACTATCGAATTCCACCTGCTATGCTCGACAATCCTCAATTGCTTCTGATCGATGTTAAAGTAGCTGTCATCCAATGTGCACGACGTTGGCCATTATATTTTAGTGTTCAATTTCCAGTTATGGATCAATTCATTAACAGAGTTACTAATGAAATAGTAAATGCACGTCGAATATTAGCTATTCATGAATCAGGGCTTACGTATGTTTTATTTTTTTTTTTTTTTAATCTTTATTAAATGTTTATTTCCCTTTTCTCTCTTTTAATGTATAATTCTTTGTCACTTTTTTTTTTCTTTTAATCGAAGAAAATATTAAATTTTAATATGACTTAAATAATTTATTTAATATTTAATTTATTACTTTTTCATGCAATTAATATCAATTTTAAACATTCAAACATTCTTTTTTCTATTTAACATTGATCTATTTACTAGTTCTTCCTATTTCTTTTTTTATTGTTTGAGTAAAAAAAAAAAAAAAGAAAAGAAAAAAGAAAATTAGCAATCAAAAAGAAGAATAAAACTTTCCTAACTTTTCATACAAAATAAAAATAAGTGAAATCTTTTCTAACGCAAATAATGAATTTATTAGGTAAATGAAAGAAATTTACAAAATATTTTATGGAAAACGATGTAAATTTTTTAAGTAATTATTGTTTAGATTATAGCAATAAATATAACTAAGCAACGTATAATTTCAAAGTAACTAGGCTACAAACAAAATTTTGCTTAAAATTTTAACCTTATTTAAACAACAAAATGATTATTTCCAAAAAAAGAGAAAAATAAAAAAATGAACGATAAAAGCTAAATGTTAAAATTTAAAAAAATTATAATTAAAGTTTTGAGAAAAGACGAAAGATCATATGTTAAATAGTTTGTATGTCATTAGCATTAATATGTAAATCATATATTATTGATAAGGAAGTTATTAGAATTTTAGTCCATTGAAATTAAACAATGAAAAGCTGAAATTGCCTGAAATTTTTGCATTAAACTGTTTCGGTTAATTCTTATTTAGGAATATAATTCCTATTTAGTTTTATAATCTTTCTATTATGTCATTTGGAATAGAAATTTCAACTTCATTAATTAAAGCTATAAATAATAATAAAATACACAATGCAATGTTCACATCCATATTTAAATCCATTAAATAAAATAGAAAAAAATTTCATTCCTTTTAAACAAATATTTGGTAAATTTAGTCAGAAAGAAAAATGACTGAAGATGTGGTCTAATATTGGAATAAATTTTATTTCCTAGTAGTTAATCGTTTATATAATTTCTTTAAAATTATTTATAAAAAATGTTTCGCTGCTTTAAAAAATGATATGAAAGAAATTGGGAGTGATATTTCCAACTCTTTTTCATAAATTCTTTTAATTAAAAAATTATTATTGAAGCATTGATAATCTATCTATTTGGAAATGTAAAAATTTCCACTTCTTTCAATTAATGAATTTTAAAAGTTTCTTGATATATATAAGTATATAAGTAATTTTAAAGAAATTATATTAGTCAATAAATTAATAAGCAAATTATTTCATCGTTCATCATAATTATTTGCAGAACTGAATTCAAATTTACATTAAAATTTTTTTTAGATTGCTAAATCAAGATGAGAGCAATAATAATATGGAATTAAATATTTTAGACCATTTCAAGTAAGTGAATAAAATTATGGAAATATTATTGTTTAATTGCTATTACTGTTATACTATTATTGTTGTTGCTATTATTTTTATTGTTAATTAGTATTATTACTGCTGTTTAAACTTATTGAAATAATAATTGATTTATAAGAAATATAACTGATTTTTTTTTTAAAAAAATGTTTTATTTAATGACAGTTATGGTGATATTATTGACATGCAAGTGGACTGTACAAGTGGACAATTGCGCTTACAAATACGCCAAGACTCACAATTAATACTACGATCTGTTCATGCTGAAGAAATTCATACATTAATTGACAAAATGATGTCAGTTGATGGTGGAAAAGTAAGTCATTTTATCATTTTATTTATAATCTTTTATAATATCTAATCTATTTTCAATGATACATAAAGTTTTATATTTCGAATTGTAATAATTTCACTTTATTCTTTTTATTTTCATTATTTAGTAAAGAAATAAATCTCATAAATTATTCAAATTTCACTGATTTTTTGTGGATAAATTTATTATTACTTATAATTATAATAAGCAATACATTTTGTTTTTTATTGATTTTTTTAAAGTAATTTTAAATGAAAATTATTAATATAAGAATAAGAATTAAATGTAAACTATATTATTTAATTTTTTTTAGATTGTAATCATATAAGCTATTTTTGAAAAACATATTCAACTTATATTTTAGTAGATTATTGACGGCTATATGAAGCTAATTAATAAGCTATAAAGAATTTTGAAATTTAATCTTTTCTTATTTTTGCAAATAAATTTAATTATTATTTTTGTTATTTAATAAAAATTTTGTTTATCAAATCATTAAATTAAAAAGAAAATTGCATAATTTTAGGTACGAATATATATGCGTGCAGTAGCAGATTATATTACAAATGAACCAAATTTACTAAGTTTTTCCAAAGGTGATATTATACAAGTAAGTAAGCAATACATTATTTGTTTGTTTATTCATAATTCAGAATTATGATAAGTATAATTTAAATTATCATTGATATTACAATAATTATTATTGGCGATGATAATCATGATAATTTATTAAATGTAAACGATAATATAATCATGATTATTGTTAGTGTAATTATTATTATAAATTCTTAATCAGATTATATTTTACCCATTAATTTTATTAATTTGATTTTTTTTTTTTTTTAAGATTATAAATCGTAATGATGGAACATTACCAATGGAACAAAATAGTGAGCAATGGTTATATGGTAGAATTGGTAATCATTTTGGTAATTTACCAGCAAATTATGTTGAACCATTGGATTCTTTTGGGCAGGTAATTAATTATATTAAATTATTAAATCTTTTTTCTACCTTTCTTTATTAAAATTTTAGGAGTTATGTAACATTAAGAATTCAAATTTTAACATTCATAATGTGAAATTATACCTGAAATTATTAACATTTTGAAAAAATAACGCGATAATAATCAACATTTTTTTTCTTTTTCAATATTTTTATAAAAACACAAATTGCTATGGTATGTGAAAAATTTATAAGATATATTAAAAAATATTTCTTTCCTAGCAATAAGTTAGTCGTAGTATTGTAAAAAGAAATGATAAAAATTTTAATCATGAATTACAAATTATTATTATCGTTATTACTACAATCATTATTACCGGTGACATCGTTAGTTTTTATCTTTCATTAAGTTTAATTATAATAATTTTTAATATTAAAATGTGAATATCTTTTTATATCTTTCCTGATTATAATATATATTTATTATATCTTTATCATAGAGTACATTTTCATAATTAATTATATTAATAAGTATTTATACTCCCACTAATTACTTTATTATTACTTATAATTATGTGATTTTATTTGTTTATTCGTTCATTTCGCATTCAATTTTTTCTTTTTCTAAATGAATCTATTGTATTGAGAAAGGAATATTGCTTTTTTAATTTTTTTTTTTTTTGAAATTAATTAAATTATTACAATTTTCAGATGATTGATTCACAACTAACGATGAATTCATCCACTGCTGGTGGGATTCATTTCGATGATTTGGTTAGTATCATTAGTTTTTTTTTTTTGTTTGCGATAATTAAAAAAGCACATAAATCAAATTCTTCAATCATATTTGTGAAATAATGATTTTATAATCAAAAGATTTGATAAGAGCTTAGGAAAAGCAGTAATTAAATAAATAAACTATTAAAATATTTTGGTTGATAAATAATTTTTACATATATTCAAGAATTAAAACAGAAAGATATTCGATAAAAATGAATATTTTAATATAAACTGGCTTCTTATAAAAATGTTCATTAAAAGAATTGTTGCATTCCAAAAATTAATTTTTCATTATAAATTTAAAAATTAATTTATTATTAAAAACACCATTAACTGAGATCAAAATGATAGTTCTTGGGAAAGGAAACTTATCATGGAGTTAAATTAATGCTAATAATTCATACATTTAATGAACTTCCCCATCTTATTTGATCGTGTACTTAAATATTTTTGAAAGTATTTCATAGTTTACTTAAATCTTTCAAAAATATTTGGTATATTTGATATTTTATCATTTTAATGATATCTCTCTCTTTCCCTTTCTCTTATCTAAACTTTTTCAATCTATGCTATCATTAACATTTAAAAAATGCTGTCCGTTCAAGTAGTCAAAAAAAAGAAATATATATATATATATATATAAAAAATTTTCTTCCACTTTAAATCTCATATATTTTAATGCTTGTTGCATTTATCTATTTCATATTTATTTACTAATCGTTTTATTTATTATTTACTGAAAATCCACTAATCATTTTAGTTATTTATTATTTACTGAAGGAAAAAAAAAGAAAAACGATCTTTACAAATTTATATTTTTATGTCTTACTATGACCAGAATCAGTATTTTATTTTTTTCAATACTTCAAGAATCCCTCTTTATCGATAAGTCAGGAATCTTCTCCACTGATATGGTCAAGAATCTTTCTCTATCGATATGTTGGGTGTTCTTCTTCATCGATAATTCTTCTTTATCAATATATCAGTCCTTATTAATCCTCTCCTATCGACAGGTGAGGAGGACTCATTATCTATCGATACTCAGAAATCTACTTGTCATTTATTGCCACTGTTTATTATTTTATTATTATTATTGATCAATAATCATGATAATTTCATTACCTAATTTACATCACTTTTTTTTCTTTCTATTTTTTCATTTTTTCTTTTCTTTCTAAATTATACTAAAACAAAATAGCGAAGCATTAAATAATTACATTAAATATTTTACAACAAATTACAATCGCCATTAAACCATTACAGTCTTTATGACAATAATTACCATATCTTTTTGAACTGAATGATTCATATATCATTAGCTTAGTGTCTTTCTTTTATTGAGCCAAATTAAATAGAATTGAGAGAAAAAGGTACTAAGAACCTGTTTTTCGCATTCTATTTCATTACACATTAACATTTACTTACCAATTTCTTTCTTCTTCTTCTTTTCCTTTCCTTCATCAGATACAAATACCGCCCGAACGCTTCTTACCTTAATGTATATAAATAATTGTTTGTATACATATGTTCCATCTATATGTGTAAGTATATATAAATATATATATATGTGTGTATGTGTCTGTCTGTTTGCCTATATATGCATGTGTATGTGAACAATTAACCGGTTTGTTCCGGTTTAGATAGATGACAAGGAGCGGTGAATTGCTTCAGAGGAAAAGAATGATTTTTCCTTCAAATTCATTACAATTGTCGAAGTATTGCGCGACCATTTTTCTCTCTCTCTCTTTTTACTGACTACATTCGCTTAATTCATTCTTTGTTTCCGATATGTTATATATAATTAATTATTATTAATTAATAATTTATTAAATCTTTCCTATTAAATATTATTTGATAAAAGTTTTCCAAAATTTGGTATTATTTGGAAAAGCTGTTATTCTTATTGTTATTCAAAATAAAAATAAAAAATAATGAACTATCATTGATTATTTTCAATTATTTAGGACAATTTTTATTGGACAAATGAATTAATTTTAGCACTGTCATTAATTCATATTTTTTGATGTTGCAACAATCAATACGATTAAATACTAATTTACTCTAAAATTCTGAAATATTCATATTTGCATTGATTTCTTTTTCTATATTAAAATATTCTCTGCTTTTTACTTCTTCAATTTTACTTTTTTTGGCTCTCGTTTAAACTGATTCGGAAGAAAGCGGTAAAATCATCAGTCGCTATATTCAACGTGCTAATTTTCTAATTAACTTATTATCAATTAAAAAATTTACCACTGAATGATAAATTTGAAATTTTAAGATACCTATCAGGTATCCTGATTACTATAACTATATCGGTCGACTACCTGTTATGGATTCCCATTACAGTTATCGACAACGGCATTTTCGTCCGCACCCACGTACACCACAGGAATCCAATCCACTTTATAGGTCCTCTGAATTGGACTATTCTATTTCTGGTATTGGAGCAGGAGGCGGAGGTGGAGGTGGAGGCGGGAATTATTTCAGCACCTCAGGACCCTGTAATTTTGAAGCTGAAAAACAACCACGACGATCGCAGTCATTGGACAATCGAAAAGACTGGTTGTTCAGCGATGATTATGGATTTCCAGCAGTAGGAACAGACGAGAGATATAATGGTGCCACGAAGAGGTACCAGTCTCATCAGCAAAAACGAAACTATAATTATCAGCCTTATTTTAGTGCTAGTACCGGTCCTACTACCGGATATCGCGCTACCTACGATGGACGACGTGGTAACGATAATTACTTTGACAATGTCGTAACCCTACAATCCAATCCTACTGAATCTGACTGGGATGCTCTCGACCGTTCAATTCGAAATTATCGTGAAGATCCTGGTGGTGAGCAACCAAATGTAACCATGCGACGTTCCAAGGCTCAAAGTTTATCTCCAGTTCGTCCCAGTGGTGTTTTTGGTGGTATTGGTGGTGCTTCAAGTGGCACCAAACCGAGACGGCGCAATTTACCATCATACTTTTATCGACACTCTGGTACTGGTGGTTGCTTTGTAGGACCACAAAGTGGTATTTCTGTTAATAGAAATGAATCAATTCGACATACCCGAAACGATTTTTTCAGTGGTTCAGCATTACAGGATGAAATGGAATTTGGTACTGACCGTGGTATGACAAATTACTACCGAGGTAGTAATTCTAATCATCAACAATCTGAACATTATAGACCGGGAGCTGGATCTCTAAATGTTGCAAATACAATGCGAGGTCAAACAATGATTCGTGGTACTACTACAGGTACCACACGTGATGGTTTTGGAGCGCAAAAATATTACAAGCTTCATTGTTGCTGTTTAAGTTTTCGTTGGCCACCTTGGGCTTTTGAAGAAGTGGAACCACCGCAACCAATATATCGTCGTACTTGATTGAAAATACATATATTACTACCAGTAGAAATAAATTACATTACTATTACTACTAGTAATATTACTTTTATTAGACTTTTTACCTTTTTTTTTTTCATCCTTCAATCTTAATGCTACCAATATCTATTTATTTGTTCTTTACAACCTATGCAACTCTCATTTTGCTATTATAAATAATACTGAAAGTAAAATTATATCGAAAATATTTCAAATATTGATTAATTTTTTTTTTCTCTTAATCTTACAATGATTTATAAAATCTAAATTTTATCATTCATAGTCCTATTCCATTTATTTAGTTACAATATCACATACTGTACCATTGGTTTCTTTTTTCTTTTCGTTTACTTATCAATTAATTCTGATGCCATTTTTTTTCTTATCATCATGGTACCACGGTGCTAAAGATTAATTTTACTTTTCCCTATGATAAGGATAATCTATAATTGTAGATATCAAAATGATGATATAATTTATTTTCTCTCTTTCATTTTTTTTCTTTAAAATTTCTGTTCATAAGAAATTATTATATTTGTTTGATTGAAAACAAATTTCAATATTTTATTTTAGTTAAATTGTAACTTTTTTTTCGTGTTAAACTCTTCCTAAAGCATATCAAATTTGTATTATTGCTCAATTTTCACAGATTTTAATCATATTTTCAATTGATTTATAACAAATTTCAAATTATCATTATCATTATCATTTGATAATTAAATTAAAAAAAGGAAAAGAAAAGAGAAATAATATAAGAATGATAAGATACATTTAAATTTATTCAGGTTTCTTCTTCTGTTCTATTCTTTATCATTATCATTATCATCGTTATATCTCTATTTCCATTATCATCGTTATATCTCTATTTCAGTAGCTGAATAATGATTATTTTATAACTTTTTTTCTCTTCATCTTAATTAATAACTCTTCAATCTTTTTATTTGATAAAACCACTTGCTTCATTGCTTTTTATGAGAATGATTAACTGTAATAGAAAAAAGAAAAAGAAAAAGAAAGAATAGAAAGAAAAAAATCATTAGAAATAAGCATATTATAATTAATTATCAACTTATTAACCTCAAAGTTTTTTTTTCTTTTTTTTTTAAAGTATTATTTGATAAAATGATGAATAAGTAATGATAAAATTATAATCATTATGAATATGAATTATTTTTGTTATGACTGTGGTTTATTTTGTTATTTTGTAATATTTATCGATTTAAAATTTTTTTCCTTGAGAAAAGAGAAAGATATTTTTGCATTGAAACATTTAAAAAAAGAAAAAAAAAATTGATATGTAGGGAATTATATGAAATTTGTCAGTTAGCTTATAAAAATTACAAATTTATTATAAAAAGTAGAAAAAACAAACAAACAAACAATCTATCACATATTAAAATTTAAATAATATGTTTAATCATTTTAAAATATGAATGAAATTTTCAATCTAATTATAGCTTTTAATGGACATAAACTTCATTTATAATTAATTAACAATAATAGAAAGAAGTGAAAAAAAAAAAAGAAAACATTCAAATATTTGTGGTTAGAAACAAAAAGTTCAGGGTATTAACTGTGGTTTTTCTTCTTTTTTTCATTTGTTAACATTTCAAATTGCTGATCTAATTTGACATTTTTTCGCAATTGCACAACGAAAAGTAGCGGCTGGTACTACCATTTTTTTTTTCACTATAATCAATCTTTTCTTTTTTCATTTTGAATTTAAGAAAAAAAAAAAAAAGGAAAAAGGAAAAATTGTGTCGCGCTTAGTCTAACAAAATATTTTACAAAATGTACAATTTTCAACATTCTTACATCACTCTGTGTTGCTGATAGAAATCATACATCAAATAGAGTTAATTATTTGACATTTTTCAATGAAACAATAATATACCTATCCATTTCCTGAAATTAAATTATTTGTTTAATTTTATTTTTCATAATTTTAAAGCCTTTTGTCATCATTTTTCATATCAACTGATAACGTTATGGAACTTTTTTTTTCTTCCTTGATTAAACTAAAACTTCGTCAGTTAAACATTCCAGTGATATCCCATTGATATTATTATTAACGGGTTATCACCTTTGTAACAATGCCATAAGATACCAAAGTTGAGATATAAAATTTCAATCATTAAATTAGCAAATATTTCATTTGAGATAAAATACATCTTCATTCAAATTTATGTTATTAATTTAAAAATTTCTATCAGCAATAAAGAAATTTTCTCTTGTTTAAAAAAAAAAAAGAAAAAAATTTTTCCGAAACAAAAATAATACTGAAAAAACTATAATTCATGTAATTTTAAATAAATAATAAAAATTAAATAATAAGTAAAAATATAAAAAAATAGAGAGGAGAAGGGAAGAAGAGAAAAGTGAAATTAATAACGAAAAGAAATGATTTAAATTTCTTTAAATTAATGAAACATATATTTCTTTCATCCTTTATCTTTTTTCTTTCTTTTTTCATTTTTTTGTTTTGATTAAATTTTGGGGAATTTTTTTTTTTTTCTTTTTACTACGTTTTAGGAACTATTTATTGACAAGAAGTGCTTTCATTATTTTGCATTGTATCAATAAATTATTGTTGTTTTGGATAATAAAAAAATTTTAATAACTAATTGGTAAATTTGGAATAGAAATGAATTCAAAGAGAGTATAATGTGCACAATAATAATGCAATTTTCATAAGGTCAAAGGGGCATTTGGCATATAATATACATATATGTATCAAAGGGATCCGAAATGAATTATATTCAATTACTTGAATAATTTAATGGAATGTATAGGAATGGGATAGGAGAGAAAAAAAAAAGGAAACGATTGGTAAGTGTATAAACAAGGTAATGAAAAAATAATTTAATTTGATATATAATATGTTTCATTTAATTTATATACAAACATACATTTGATATTGATTAAATGAATTATTATTGTAAGCTTTATGGAATAGATTTTAATAATGTTGCTTAAATAATTTAATTTAATCTTTTTCTCATAAATTGGACATTAATATTAAAATCATTATAAAAAAAATATCTCATAAAAGTAAAATGAAAAAGAAAAGGAGCAAAAAAAGATGAAATATGGGTGAAATTGTGTATTAATAATATGCATTAATTTTAGATAATAATGCATATGCATAGAATTCTTTTAAATATTAATTTGTTTCAAAACTATAATAATCAATTATATTTGTAAACAAGTAAATAATTAAAAATGTATATTGTAACAGCAACAGGAAGACGGAAGAACAAAATAATGGCGATTAAATTCATTTGAAATTAATATGACTTAAAGGAAAGAGTCAAAATGAAAGTTACACAATTAATACTGCTTGTTGATTTTTTAAAACTTTATTATGATATAAAAGTATAAAAAGTATGAATATGTCAACAGTTTGAGCAAATGTGAATAATTCGAAAATTATTTCAAGATTTATTTCTTATTTACAAACTGTGATCATAAATGTTGGAGTATTATAAATTGTCAATTTTCACCGTGAAATTAACAAAAAAAATAATTTAGTAATTTATTTTTTTAATCACATATTTAAGGTATCTATCATAGTTTCTTTACTCAACTACCACTTGTTAGTAAGATAATTAGAATCGCTAATAAGATAATTCAAAAAAAAAAAAAAAAAAAAAAAATTGGATTAAATTAAAAATTTTTGAAATTTTACACTTTCGGAACCTTAATTTAAAAATTTAATTTATAGGATAACGTTGGAAATTTCTTCTTTGATCCATCAGATCCCGATAACAAGTATACAATGATGCAATTTGCAATACTCTATTTTCGACGACCTAAAGGCGTTTCATCTGGTATTATCAGTAACATAAATTTCAATTCAAATAGTGCGCAACGAAAAAGTAAGTGTTAATCGATTATAAGTGTGTCAATAGTACAGAAAAAAAGAAAAGAAAAACATTAAAAATAATAAATTAAGGCCTTTCTACAAATAATTATTAATATAGATGAAATATTCGTGGCTTAATAATTTATTTATAATATTGTTTAAAATTCTAAAAATTGAAGGAAAGAAATGGACATGGAAAGAAATCGCTGAAAAAGTAAAACATACAAATAAACCAATTAGTCATTCACTTCTTCGATTAGATAACAACGAAGCGGATAAATTAGCTCAAGATGCTTTTATGTGTTAGTAAAATTTTTTGAACTATTAAATTTTTTTTTTCATTTTGCTGTTTGATAAATAAAGCAATTTTTGACGCAAAGCATTCTTCATTAATTATATGAATCAATGGAAGTAATTAGATTAAAGTATTGAATTTAGTGACAATTAAAATTTTGTCGAAAAAAGTCAAGATGTTATATGATAAGTAGAAATTAAAATTAAAATAATTCAATAATTTTAATTGGTTCTAATTGATTAAAAAAGTAGGGAAAGAAAATAAAATATAATTATTTTAATCGTACATACACTCTTTTTTTACAAATTCATAAGGTGAAAAATTCCTCATCGAGGTGATAAAATTCAGGATATTGTGTAAATTACAGTATCACTCTAGATTACTGTGTATGCAGATATATGCAGGAAACATTCATTTAGTAAAAGTATAAAGTTGTTGTAAAGCTTTCTCTCTTTTATGCATTCATCAAATGATGGATTATGCCTAAGTGACAACTAAAAGTAATCACAGTACTATGCTAGATTACAGTATACAGTACTATGCTAGATTACAGTATATGTGTTGGAATACATTTACTTAGTAAAAAGTAAGATAAGTTGGTTTTAACAGTATATATTTCCATCATTTTTACGCATTCATTAAATGATGGATTATATCGCAGAATTACAATATCAAGTGTCACGTATCACGTATCACGCTAGATTACAGTATATGCAGGCATACATTTGTTTAATAAAAAGTAATATAAAAATGTTGTAACAGAATACACTTTCATCTTTTTATGCATTCATTCAATGGTGGATTATGCTTAGATTGGTAAACTATGATAAATTGCAGTATTGC